ATCTTACATGTTACATGGCATCTTAGTTTGAGCACCGATGTTAAACTTTTCTTCTTTTGCACAGTCCGACATGTAATGTTAAAATCCTACCCTTCTGTTGAGACTTTGGTAGAAGGGTTTTTGCTCAGAAGGACATTCATAAAGAGACTGGATCTCTTGTGTCCATGATGCAAATATTTCTCTGCGTCAGATAATATGAATTCAGTAGATATTATTTAGTGTTCTAAGAGCTGGCCTATTTCTGAGTAATCCGTTTGTAGTCTGTTTAGCCATGCACATCTCGTTTGAAAGGGATTTGTTTGCATGTAGTTAGAAAATCTGTATTAGGTGAGCAAAAGAAACTGAGCACATTGGCCAAATGCAATGCAATGTCAGTACCCAATAGCCCGACACCTGATGAGGATTTTGCTTTCTGTTATCTATAAAACTCTTAACTTAGTGTAAATGGGTTTTCTGTTATTAGACATCGTCTCTCAACTCCATTCTCGTCGGAGAATCTTATTGGTAATCAGAAACAAAGACCGCGGCACTAGAGAAAGTCTTGGCCTGGATATCAACTGGCTTCATTGAAACCCCTAAACAATCGGCCAATGACCCCAGAGGCTAAGACCCATAGCTTATGGCTGCTGAAAGTTGTGAGAAACTGCTTGTTCATTTGTTGCTCACAAGTGATAGAGTTGAATTGCCAGCCACTGGCTGAGATGGAGATTTGAGCTCCTGTCAATCTCTCCACACAGTTATCCATTTAGACTGACTTGCCCTGAGGACTCCATCAGTAAATCCTTATGTTAGTTCACTGTTGTATCAAATTGCCTCACCTGCTGCTTTTCAGAAAGGTGGCTATGTGATGTGAAATGCACTTAATGTCATGTCCTGCAGGCACTCTGAACTAAAGCTTCTTTTAAATGTTGAGAAAACCAAGGTAATGCTCTTTTGTAAAGCTAAAAAGACTCCAGAGACTGCTTTGGATATTGTTACTATGCAAGGACAAGTACTCCAAGTGGTTAGCTGTTATAAATACCTTGGTATCTGGCTTGATGATTGTCTTACTTTTAAACTTCAGGTCACTAATCTGCTTAAAAAGCTGAGGGTTAGACTAGGTTTCTTTTTCAGAAACAAGTCCTGTTTCTCTTTTGAAGCCAGAAAAAGGCTAGTCACTGTGACCTTTTTACCTGTGCTAGACTATGGTGATTTGATCTACATGAATGCACCTGCCCATTGCCTGGAAAGGTTAGATGCCGCCTATCACAGTGCTCTGAGATTTGTTACTAACTGTAAAGCACTTACTCATCACTGTACCCTGTATGCCAAGGCAGGTCTGCCTTCACTTGCTGTTCGGAGGCTCAGTCATTGGTACATGTTCATCTATAAAGCTATGGTGGGTAAACTACCGACTTATATCTGCTCCTTGATCTCACGGAGAGTGGCAAGTAGCTATTACCTGAGATCCCAGGATGTGTTCTTATTACATGTGCCAAGTGCTAGGACTGTTTTAGGTGCTAAAGCTTTTATGTGCGCTGCTCCTCTAGCTTGGAACACTATGCAAAACATTTTGAAACTGAGCATTTTGATTCCCTTGCATCATTTTAAAGCGCGGCTGGATGAAATGTTATTAGATACCTGTCAATGTAAATAGGTTGCTAATGTATACCCCTGTAATTATGTTGTGATGTCCTTTTGTTTTCTGTTGTTTTTATGTGTAACTAATGTACCGCAGGTCTCCCTTGAAAAAGAGATCGTTGATCTCAATGGGATTTTTTAACCTGGTTAAATAAAGGCTACAAACAAACAAACAAACTTGCTGCAGATCTCACATATTAAGTTGAATTTTCACTGACTCAACGACACAAAAATGGATTGTGCTTCCAGAGTGTGAAAAACCACTAACTGTGGTCACATTATCCCCAAGGATCCTGCTGTTGTTTCTTTAAGAAAAAGAAATGTAAGCAATGTAAATTTAGAATACTCAACGAGATCTAAGTGGGGCACATACTGAGTGCTACTATAATAAGTATTGTCTGCCCTTGTGCTTAAAGGCCCTGATTGGATATCTAGGGAAAAACTGTTTCTCAAAAAGTAAGATTATTTTAACCGGTAAGCTATTATTAATAATAATAACTACTAAACAATAAAATAATATACATACCAAGTGGTTATTATTTTAGCAAGTATTTTTTTATTGAATAAACTAACAAAACATGTTAAGTTACCATTAGAGTGATCGAAATCTTTTTATGTAACTAATTAACTCCCAGAAAGAAAGCAGTAAACATATTTCCCCAAATGTCTTTAACACACAGGTTTTATTGAGCGTACCGGGCAAAAAGTGATTTATTGGCTTCTGGCAACAGCATCACCTCTTAGTGTTGGGTACAGAGGTCGTGACCCGACCCAGGAGGATAGACTTGTGGCTCTTCTGCAGAAGGAACACTCCCACTTGTTTTCTTGGTTAATTGCAGTGTTCCTTTTTTACCACAGTGCAGTAGTTTCGAGGACGCCTGTCTGTGTCCAGCAGTGTGAAAACCATATTCCCTCCGTAGCTGTTTGAAAAGACTCCCTCTCAAGAATCTGGACTCTATTTCCTGTCCAGTTCTGAGCCCTATAAAGAAGTCTGTGATGTTTTTTTTATTAGTTTCTACATATAGTTATGCTTTATTGGTCAGCAGATTGTTTTAGTTGACTGTGGCACTTGTTGTAGCATTTACATTTTTTCTCTCCTTCACTTTTCCATCCACCTCCTTATGAAAGGATGTTTTTCTTTCTGCTTCCCGTCATTTAATAATGATAGAAAGTTGATGCATTTGGCAGCCAGTTAGAGGGAACAGCACACAGTGGATGATAGCTTGGCCTGGCCTGGAGAAAAGCGCCATTGTGTCAACACTTGGGCTTTTATTGGTCCTCCGAGAGATGAAGGCCCAGGTTCTGGCCCCAGTCCGACATGCTATTGATGGATGGTTCTATAGCGTTCGAGGGGGAAAGGGGGTGCATACAATTAAAGGGGAGTGAAGTGAGTTTTGGGATGCATAATACCACCTTAGTAAGTAATCTATAGTCTTTTGGGGTTACTTAGTTGGAAATTCAATCCTCTGTTAAGTTCATAGAGGTCTGCTTCTTGCGCTGGCCTCAGATTGACACAAAGCCAAGGAAAGGGACCACTGAATTCCACATCCTACTTAAATATCCACATGACTCGCTGTGAAATTTGCAGCACTTTGCAGCAGCTGCTCTGTTGATGCTCATTCATGGTCACTTCACTCCTGTCCTGCCGTGCTTTTTTCTTTATTCCTTCAGAGCTTGAGCGCTGGCCCGGTGTTTGTTCAGCGCTGAGTCTTTGTGAAGCAGGGAGAGCTGTCGATGCAGTTAGTGTCTGAGAGTTCACCCCGTCTGCAAACCACGACAAGAGCTCAGGAAGGAAAGTCTGAGAGGATCGTGTGACCTTGTGACACTTGTTGACAGACTTAAAGTGATGGAAAGTATTTAAGCAGCAGGTCAAACTTGCACTGTCAGCTCCGTAAAGACTCAGAATAGATTTCAGCCAGTTAGCGTAATACATAAAAAAGGCAGGTTGCGTTCTTGGCAAAACATATGGAAAACAAGAGGGCATAATTAAACAAGGTTATGGTGGCAGGAGTTAAACTACATAAATAAGTAGTCAAGCACAAAACGATGTAAAAACACGTTTCTGTCAAGCTGAGATTGTTTTCTCCTTATAGCCCTCAAGGCAGGTACGTAGAAACTGTATGACAGCACAAGCTTTTCTAGACGGACACACCATTGGACTTCAGAGGGGGAGCACACACACAAGGTTATATGTGCTTTACTAGGTGTTGACACTTCCATATGCAAATGCTTACATTTGTTGCAAAAAAAGTTGACTCATTAAGAAAGTTAGACCTCCAAACCCCCTTCAATGCAACAGCTGATTTAATGAGACATTAATGGAGATATCCTTTTGCTCACTGCCTCCTTGTTTGCCAGAATAGAAGAAAACTGAGTGAGATCTGTTTTATTTTTAATGAGCCAGAGGGCTGAGGTTGTCCCTGCATCTGCAGCGGTGGCAGGGTATCACATGGAATAAGTCAAATATCAGTATTCATTATTGCAGTACAGAGCAGAGGGAGTGCTGTTTCTTCTGTGTGTGTGTGTGTGTGTGTGTGTGTGTGTGTGTGTGTGTGTGTGTGTGTGTGTGTGTGTGTGTGTGTGTGTGTGTGTGTGTGTGTGTGTGTGTGTGTGTGTGTGTGTGTGTGTGTGTGTGTGTGTGTGTGTGTGTGTGTGTGTGTGTGTGTGTGTGTGTGTGTGTGTGTGTGTGTGTGTGTGTGTAATAATTCATGACGTGAGGGTTTCAAGGAAATGCATGCTAGGTGTCTGTTGTGCCTCTTCATGAAGTATTTATACATTCCACAGAAATTATTCATCATTTATGTGCCATGTTTAGTCAAGTATTATTAATGTTATATCTTCATTGTTTGTTGTTAGAGTGTTGTCGCATTTTGAAGTGCTTCACCTTGGTGATAAAAGGTGCACTGACCCCTCTTGTTTGGTGCAACCCCCTTTGTTTTCGTTCTCTTCAGGCACATTTTTTTTACCAAGGAGTTTTCTTCACTGTGATCTCCTCTCTTTTCTTTATGGGGGATTACCTCAATTAAAATTACAGGTCTACTGGATCGGCTCCTGCTGAGAATTGTTATCCTTTCTGTAGGCAGCCTCCTTTTTATAGCCTAAACCGAGTGAGCGTGTTCCAACAAGTGCTTAAATCTTTGTGAAGGGGTACTGGGTATGTCCATCACCAGCAGTAGGCATATATGTGACTCAGGGTCGGAAAGCGTGACACTGCCTTTGAGCATTTGTACTCCTCTTACCAGCTCTGTGACAACTGATTTAAAACCAAACTCTTAGTTTTACTGAAAGGTATGTGGCTTTAAAACTGTGTGTAATCTGTAGAAGCAGTTAAGAGATAAACTGCCTCTCTCTCTCTCTGTGTCTTGCTGTTTCTTTCACAGTGCAATCTGATGGCGGAAAGGACGGACCCACCTGCATGGACAAGAATCACGGCTGTGCTCACATCTGTAGGGAATCACAGAAGGGTGGCATCTCCTGTGAGTGTCGACCTGGATTCCAGCTCACGCGTAACATGAAGGACTGCAAATGTAAGTCATGTCAACCTGAAGCATAGTGCCTCTCTGTGAAAGACACACACACACACACACACACACACACACACACGCACACGCACACGCACACACACACCAGAAGAAGGATTTATAGGCTCCTCATGAAGAGGTAATGTGGTTGGAAATGTGCCGATGATGGATAATTGTGCTCATTCTGCAAATGCCTTCCAACAGATTTGAAGTAGACTACTGACATTTAAGTTACATTACCAAGCCGTGACTAATGTTCTAAATAGTCCCTCGTAAAGAAAAACATGTTTATCAAATAAGGAGCGATCATTTACACAACCAGGGCAAGTGTGGAGGTTACTCGAAGGGGACCGCTCTGATGGACAGCGCACACTTCCTGTTGCTGTGCAACGGAGATCATCCTGTCAGAGCTGGGGCCAGAGCTGATGGGGGATTTGTCTGTGTTTGGATAAGGATTGGAGAAGTGTTATTCTATAGTTTTTTCTTTGACAGCCCAGGAAAAGGGCAAAAGGCTCTGGGATGGTAGGGTGCAGACAGGATGGCGGTGGCTTGTTCGTGCTCTCTTTCACTCTGTCATCACAGGTGTGTTAGAAGTGCCGGGGTTAATGCTCCCCTCGCCCGCTAGCAAATAAATGTATTTGCACTTAAGGATTTGCAGACACACACACACTTAAACCCGAAATCTTACTCATCCCATCATTTATGTGTAACTGACATGAATCTTGTGCTGTTTGTAAGAAATGTCACACGTTTTTTTTAAGAGTTCACTTAAAGGGGACATATTTGACTCATTTCCCGGTTCATACTTGTATTTTGGGTTTTTACTAGAACATGTTTACATACTTACTTATACTTGAATGTTATTTTTTTCCTCCTATCCGGATAAACCTGTATGCACCTTCTGTCTGAAAGGCTTTTTTTTTATTGCCTGTCTCTTAGCCTCCCTGGTGAAAAGGCCCAGTGTGCTCTGATTTTAATGCGAGAAAAATATGGCGCACCTTCAGCAAAGATAATGGGTGGATATACTCAGATGGTGGGGTTTTCTGTAATGAGCATCCATGTGAAATAGGAAGGGTAGCCAAATCTTAATGGCTTCTTTGTTTTCTGATCTAGGCAGCCCACAAAAAAGTGACTGTGTTGTATTATTTCACAGTGTGTGGGTTGGTAGGCAATCCGGATACCCACATATCCACACTGAAAAAGTTAGTTTTATATATGACACACACATTTGTCACCTTTACATTTTTGGCCAATTCTGCTTGATTAATTAAATTCCTTATAATGAAGAAGGTTCATGCAGTGACTTGTAATGAGTGAGTAAGTCCAGCCTCTTGCTCCAGGCCACAACAGCCACTATTGGAGAGTTTAAAAATGTGACCATGTCTGAAGTAATGAATAGATAAAGCAATGGTAATGACAAATGTAATTGAACTTACCCATTTTCACATTATGATACGCATATTTTAATTATAATATGGCTAGAGGTCCCATTGGTTTGCAGAGCTCTAATCCTATTGAATATTGTAAGCAGTTTTGAGTCTAACCAATCATTATGCTGGTGTGCCGCTTTAGTCATTTGGGAGTGTTTTCATCAACATATTGTGACTGTTAATCCAATCGTTTTGAAGGAACTTTACAATAAGGAGCTTTACATACAGTCTCCTTGTAGCCCTCTGAAGGGCTGAATGCAGTCTGAGCCTACATTATTAACGTCATAGAGCATATGGCTCGGAGAAACAGAGTGTATTATCCTGAAGTGTCCTCCAGCTGGGGACATTTGTTGCATGTCTCTATACCTCCATTTCTTGTCACCTTTCTACTGTCAACTTTCTAAAGTGTGTATTATCCTGTATGCACCGTTTATATTAACTGTGTGCTCCTTAATAGTGACGTGTAACTACGGTAATGGAGGTTGCCAGCACATCTGCGAGGAGACAGACCACGGCCCCAAGTGTTCGTGCCACATGAAGTTCGTCCTCCACAGTGATGGAAAGACTTGTGTAGGTGAGTCATCTCATCCGGATACATTTACCAGGGGCAGGAAATAATGGCTTTTGAATGAAAAAAGCAAAATGAGTACCACAAATGATTAACTTGTAATGTCCAACAGCACATTTTAAGTCTGAAATGAGGTTTATTGTGATAAAATAAAGTTGAAATGCAGGCCTCGGTACATTAGCTCTCCACCTGAACTTTCTCTCTTGATCTGTGACATACAAGGACAAAAGGCTACCACTCAATGTGCTTCCCCCTCTGCTGCTGCTCCAGTAACCTCTCAGTCCCTGCATCTGCTTTGGCTTCTCCTCCTCTTCCTCCTCCTCTTCGCTGGACCTATTCCTCTCTGTTTCTCAGCCATGCAGGCAGACGCACACCTTCTATTAGCCCTTGGGTCAGTTCCTCCACTGCTTCCCATTGGGAATTAACTCACACACCTGACCTAACCTTCCACTGGCATTTATCAGTGTTTGCCTCAGTTGACTTAAGTTAAGTAAAAATCATTCAGCCACTCAGGCATATTGAACCGTTCTGAAGGGCAGTTTCCCGTCAGATGAGGCCTGCAGGTGGAGTACAGTCAGAGTGTGGGTCTCGATAAATGCGTACGGATTTTGCTTAGCCATGCAGAATTGCACAGACTTCATCGACAACCATGGAACATTAACGATAAAGTAAGTCAGGTGTAAATTTGAGACTGAGCATTAATGCAGACAGGCTTTTATTTTATCCACCATTTACCCAGAGTGTCATTAATAGTTTCTGCGTACAGTACAAACCTATTTAATCCATTTAGCGAGTACTTCGCAAGGACAGTGACCTAAGTTTGTAATGCAAGCTTCAGTGAGTTGGATAGGACGCATTTTCTTTGTCAGGAAGACAAACATAGTAAAATAATCAGAGGCTACGCCTGCAGAGCAGACTGGTGAGGTGGTTGCTTGGTTTCAGTGGCTGTTAAGTTTGAGAGTTTGGTTTGGGTAGCGGCTGATTAGCTCAGTGCTTCTGGATCCCATATATTACCGCAGCCCTGATGAGAGCCAGCCCTATGTCAAGGTCTGGTCAGCCAACCTGTCATTATTGCTGTACCCTGCGAGGCCAGGGGGACGCCGCAAAGTTGACCGCAACAAAATTATATGTTTTAGCTTGTCTTGTTCCCAAGGCAGAGCAAATGTACATTTGGTTTGCCAGATTAGGAAGCAGTCAGCCAGTTAAAGTCTCTGATTTCCACCTCAGAGTCTGGGGTTACAGAGGTGGAGGCCGGCTGCTCTGCGGTCGACACGGGGGCGCTCTGTCTCCTAGACACTCTATTAGTTAATAAAACCTCAATAAAGCAAACAGTCTGCCAAATGAACCACTGACAGCAGAGTGATGGACAAGAATGCTGGAAGACCTTCAGTAAGGCACCGCTCGTCTGCACTGGGGCTGTAACTGTGGAGGGTTTTGAAAATATTCAAAAGCAGCACACGCTACTTATCTGTATTTGATTTCATACATAGCACTTTAGAAGCTGCATACGTATATTTCAAGTGCATGTGCTAGGTTTAAATACAATAACTGTATCTTACAATATATGTATTTTAAAATAAATACAACCACTATCTCTGCTTAAAACTGAGAAATCCTATTTGTGAATTAAGTTCTAATTAGTCTTAAATGTCACAAAAGATATTTGAATAAATGTATCTCTGGGGTTGTCTTCATGGCACACGGTGATAATTGCCCTCAGAAACACGTACAAAAAATAGTACATGATGTATAGAGTGTAGACAGGTATCCATAGCAACCACACAGAGTGAAAACATATACCAATTTAGCCTCCCTATTGATTTGACAAGGTTTATGATTGAGTCTGCCTTCTTCATACAAAAAGAAACATGATTACAAACTTAGTCTGGTGGGCTTTTTCAGTATGCTGCAGATTCACCGTTCCATCCATCTTGTGGGAGTGTTTGATATGAATCCTGACACTTTTTGTATTCATTATGCGGTGTCTCTCCTCACCCAGGCTTGGTTGTGCATTTTGTAATAATACACCACAGGCTGCCTGTTGCCTCTTTATCCTTCCCATCTCACCTCTGTTGATACCTTGCATACTCTAGGTGGGAATTAATATCAGGGGCCATTTTTCTGAATGGCAGTCACACATCGACTGCTTTCTTATTCCTGCACACACACTATTTGAGTCATGTGTTCAGTTTCCTTCTGAAACAATCTTATAAAAGTCAGGTTTATTTGTCTGTGCATCAAGTGAGTTCAGGTATCAGAAAAGAGAAGCCATCATGTGGAAGCATTCACGCTGTTAGCTCAGCACATCATAAACATTCACAAATAGCAGGCAGATGCAGACATGCTCAGAGTTCAATCATCTGAAGAGTTGGCCACACTATGCTAGACACACACACACACACACACACACACACACACACACACACACACACACACACACACACACACACACACACACACACACACACACACACACACACACACACACACACACACACACACAAACATAGGAGAGCAGGAGATGTTATAAGATACAAACAGAAAGCTATACAAACAACTACACAAACATACAGTACATATCCAGCATGCATGCATCACATGCATGTAAACACGTGTAGTCTACATGCGTATGCGCATAACATAAACACACTGTGCTCTTTCGGGTGGTCTGTGCATTCATGCTGCTGTTTCAGATGTACCTCTCAGTCCTCTGTCCTCTCTGTGAAGCTTTGTGGTGTTGATCTGGTACTGTCAGAGTTTTTCTTTCCTCATCTGGCACCTCAGCTCGCCTTTGAATTGGTCAGTCTGACATCCTCAGGGCCCGAGAGTGCATACTTTAATTACAGGGATTGAACAGGAGTTTTGTTCTGAAATAATATTTTTGGAAATATAATAGAAGTAGTGTAAGGATAAACATGGTTTCTCGCACTGCTATTAAAAAGAAAAGGCCCTCAAGTGGTTTTTACCTTTTTCAATTTTGTAAATGTGCTTAAAGGCCCAATCCGTCACCCCAGCTGTATCATGGACGAGTACATGGTCCGCATACTAAATGTATGCCATGTAGTCAAGTCTAAATATGCACTCAGTGGGCTGTAGAAATAAATTCACTCTGCAAATTTGCTTTTAAGAATGATTTAATTAAAAATCATTATTTTATACTTAAATGATCGTTATTAACAAAAGATAGAGTACTGTTATTTTTAAATCGGTTTTTTTGTGACAGCTCATAAATTGTACGGCTGGGCCACTGACAGTGCTTAGAGACTTGACATAACAGCCTAACAACATTAATTCTGAAATTATCTGACCATAAAAGACACCATAAAGCGCAGACATAAATCTGGCCCTGTCTTTCAGCTTGCAGCACTAACCCACCACTCGCTTTGTCTGTCAAGGCTCGCAGCACTCATACTAACTAGCAAAAGCCTCATCTCTCACACACAAACAACAACAACTGCACTTTGTCTGCACTGTGTGGAATATTGACTTTGCATGATTGCATGTTGCGAGGTAACACTTTTGCCTTGAGATGTCACCGTTTTCATCTTAGACGAGGAACTGCCATCATCAGTTTTTTGTTAGGATTTGGAAAATAATCATTGCTCTTTGCTCAGTTGTTAGTTTAAGAGGCTGTCTTTTCTTTTGCAACAACGTTATGTCATTCTCTCAGGTAGTTATCGCCTCCTGTGGGCATGAATGGACATTAACCATTTGCAAGAGAAAGGATCCCCTCTCATTCATTCTATCCACCTTTCTCCTAGCCTTATAATATCTGTATGACTTATGGGTGGGTCTTCATTTTAGTTTGAGCTTTTTGATAAAATGAACACTGTGACAGAAAAACAACCTTCAGACGGGATAATGTGATTATTAATCACTTTACCTGCTACTACTGACGGATGGGAAGACAACCTGAAAAATTGGCCTCTGATAGCTGTAACAAATTAAGTTAGGGTAGCTTTATTTGCAGTGATGAAGTTCTGCTGTAGGTCGACCCGGGAAGTTAGTTATTCTGTCAAATATTTATTCGACCGCCAGGATTAAAAAAAAATTGTTAGGCTATCAACGAACTAGCTGCCGGTCGGATAGCTGCTCATCACCACTGCTAAGCTAAAGGCGGATTTGTTTCGGCGTGATGGCGATTAGTAGTTTATTTACTTTCTTGTTATAGCAACCGCCATTTTTTGACCCATTGGACATTTACAAGTGGGGAGTTTACTGACTTAATTTACGTAGTAGAATAAAGTGACCTTTCTTCAACTTGTGTTAACCACAAACCTTATTTCAGGCATTAGACGAAAATATGTTCAAATAACCGCCATCTTCGAGACTAGAGAACCGGAAGTTGCAAAATGCTAATGAGCTAAGCTAAATTTGTGGCTCAAACCTGCAGTGCAGAATGTTTCTCTCGCCCTTATGGCCGTCAGAGTAATTACACAAACATTTAAGACGTATACTTGCCCGAGTGCACGCCGCATGTCACCTGTACTCCAGCTTGACATGAATATAAGCTCAAAATGTGTGATTCCAAATCGACAAGGTTGCGTTTCACCTCATTAATAAAAAGTGCCATTACTGATAAGCCTCAGAGCGTTTCAGATTGATTCAATGTTAACTGCAACAGAATAAATTAAATTGCTAAATATGCACCAAAGGTCACTTCTTCAAGATGTCCTTCCATCCCGAGACGTACAAGGCAGAGGTATAATTAAATTATCTCATTTAAGGTTTGACAGGCTGTGTTCCCTCATAATTCATTTTCCTTAAATATGTGAAAAGGAAAGACACTTGTACTATAAGTCTCACAAACGCCACTTTAGTGACGGGAATAACAAGAAGTCCTGCCCATAATTCGCTTTAGGAAAAAGGTGGATATACTGTAAAACCACATCAGATTAGTTCTTGTCACATGCTCATGATTTACTTAACAAACAAATGCTGCGTGGTTCAAGTGTACAAAGAACTAAAGTGGTGTTTTTACAATGTGTGCGTGTGTGTGGGTGTGCGCGTGCATGCAGGGGAGAGGAGTGTCCAGTCCCAGGCAGCCCCCGAGCTGTTCCCCAATGGTAAATATGCGTTCCTCTGACTCCTCTCTCTGGGGGTCTGTGGGTGTGGGGAGAAGAGGAAGCTAACCTAGCAGGCCCTGATCCTTCCCCTCCCCACAGGGGCATCATCCTTCTGACCCTCGACCTCTGACCCCCTCCTCCCCTACCTTCCTCTTCCTTCTGTGAATGCCCTCTCAATAACAACCCGCTGCCCCTGTCAAACCACACCTTTTTAAAACACAGCTGCAAACCTCTGACCAGCAGTATAAACATCATATAAACTTAGAAGATATAGTATATTATAAGTGATTGAACAAGTTACTCCCAACCTTTCTGTCTTAAAATAAAGCAGCAGGGCCCCTTATCACATTTCATATGTCTGTGCAACGCTCGCAGTTCCACCAAAGAGTGATTTCCCCTCTTAACTTCTCAGATGGTTTCATTTAATAACTGTTCACGGCCCAAAGAGGTCCACAGGGAATGTTTTCTGCAGAGTTTTTAATACTTTGATAGGATGTTGAATGCAGGACATTTACTATTATGTATTGATTATTTTCACATTTATCCACACAGGATCCGAATGTGTCTCTTTTACATTTCATTTGGCTGTCACTTTCTTATCCAAAGTCTCCTGCAGATTGAAGCATCGACTGAAAATGGATTTATTACCACAAGTAGAAGTGGCCTCCATCAAAAGTCCAAATCAATTCATCTGCGATGACTTCTCAAAAGGAAGACATAAGAGTTTGGTTTCCTCTGTGTTTTTGATACGACTGAGATGAGAGAAATTGAGCGTGTACTGTTCCAAACATTTGGTCATTGTGTTCCTGAAGTCTGTCATCACGGCCTATTAGCTTTGGTAAGGGAGCCAATAAAGTGTCCATGATTGCTTCATAGGAAAGATAAAACACTGAGTCCCTCTAAACTTCCTCTTGTCATGCACACGTAATCTTGTGTTCTATCATAATCAGTTGCAGGGAATTCATCCGTGCTATTCCAGTCCAGTTTTTCTTCTTTATTTTACAACATCTGCAGTAAAATGATATTTGGATCATAAATGCAATTCCAGAATGAGCTTTGTTTTAATAAATAAGGCAATGATGCCAGCAGAAATAAACTCATACATCTGCATCAATGAATCAAACCTTGATACTTCAAAGACTATTTAATTATACCCTGTAAGACTCAGGGAGGAGGCTTGTTCTCAGAGGAGTAGCCTGTTCAAGGTAAGAAGAAAAACTAAGCTGTTTAAAATTACTAGTTGTTACTACTGTATGCATACTGAGCTTCCCTCATGCCACAATATAACAATCTGACCTATTTTAGGATTTTGTGTCCTAGTTTCTGTTATTTTTCTTCTCAGAAATAGAAACATTAGGAGCAAGAGACATATTTTGCGTCCTCCATCAGTTGTTCCCCAATGATTTCCTGTGGTACTGTACCATGCTGAAACCAGCGTTTCTCAGTTGCATCTCTAGAGAACATTAGCACACTATTGTCAATTTTATTTTTCTCATTGTTTGGTTTAGTTATTGAGAGCGCACTCACTCTTTGTAGAGTTTTTGTCTAATAACAACTCTTCCTTTCTGATGAACTATAGCTGAATGTTGCCGTTTCGTCAAGAAAACAATAGTTTCTTGTTTTAAAAAATATTTTTTTTTCACCTTAGCGTCTATTTCCCGTGATCCAAACTCAGAGGACCTCTGCCTTTTTTGTGAGTCTATCATAAATGTCTGATGACAAGTTGCACTGCGGGTTACTCTTCAACATTTCTGATGCAAAACAAGAAGAAATCTGCAGCTAGAAATCTTGCAGCTTTGGATAAAAGATCATGAACACGATATGAACCCCTCTTTTTTAAACATACACTGTGGAAGCTCAGCACTAGACCAGACATCCCGCACGTCATATCGGAGAATATTTACAAAAGTCTGCCCACTGTTACTGTAATTGCCGGTCCCAACCCGGTGCACTGTGGATGTGGCTGGTATTCATCCAAAACACACAAACCCACACACATACCAGAGCATGTGTCTCTCCCCTGTCTTCACAAAACCATAATGTCAGAAATATTTCTTTGCTCTCTTAACACATGATCATTACAGTTTGGTGAGATGGCTGCCTGACTAAGCGTTTTGAGGCATGTCCTGACACTATCTTATCGTCTCGTCTGCCAACTGTCTCTGCTCACACTTTGCAATTATGTGAACCCACAGTGCTGCGCTCGATCCTGGGATGGCCTAATACTCATCATCTTTCTCTTTGAATGATCAGAGGCTAAATCTCTGTGTTCTGTGAAAGACAGGCGTGGAAAAAGTAATCAAAACATTTCACAGAAAAGGATTTCAGCTGTTCAAAATGTTTTATTGAGCTTATGTTAGGACACAATAGTAGTTTAACAGTAAATGCAAAACATAGTGAAACAAAAAGTAGAGAGACTCATAAAGTCTTTAACCTGACTCGGTACTGTCTGTTGCAAAAAATCATTAGCTACATTAAACACAAGAAGCTACTTGCTGTACCTGACCAAGAAAGGTTGTAAAACCCCTAAATCAGGAAATGGTGCGTTTCAATCCTTATAGAAATCAAACACGACACACACGAACACTTCTGCAAAGTGTGTGATTTTAAGTTGAAAACATTTCACTGATGTAATTGAGTTTATATAAAAAACATATCTTTGTCAAATGCATTAGCATCATTCAAAGGAAAAAAAAGCCAGAACCAACTGAGATCATAATACAGAAGTCTATAAAGGGAGTCACTGATACAGCTAATTGCTGTATAACCTAAAACAAACCCAGATTGTATAGTGTTTGCAATGTTGATTTAGTCATTTCCAAGTTAAGGCCCTTTTTCCATAGTGAGAAGTGTTTTTTTTTCTCGCTGTAAATTCATATTTACTTTAAGTGTGTCCAAGTGTATTAGTGCATCGTGTTCAGCCTTCAGCAACGTGATCCCTTGAACTGTTAAAACTGTTCTTTATAAAAACAACTATAAAACACAAGATTACATCACTGTAAGCACCTGTTTTGCTTTGATGCATAATTGCAGTCTACAGTTGAGTATTTTATTTGAGAGAAAAGAGCTTTACAAAGTTTCATTATGGCTGCTGCAGGCAGTGCAGATCTCAATTTAAGTCAAGGGGATTAGGTGTTTCCCCAAAGGGATCCTCATTCTCTATCAAATAAAAACCTGCGCAGCTGCATTTCCTCTTTAGTGCCACGTGTGAGCTGCCATCTCCCTGCCTGTGAGAAGTCTTCCACTCGCCCAGCTGTGCTGCTTCATCCTGAGAAGAGCTGCCAGCCAGCATCCTACAGCCCATTAGAGAGAAGTGAAGCACTGTGTGGATGACCAGTTGCCTTACAGCACGTTAAAGTGGTTGTTCCACGTCGCAAAAGTCTTTTTTTATTGTTTTTTTGTTCTGAAGTGTGGGACGCTTTCTATAAAGCTGCCAAAAACCATTGAGGCCCACACTATTCACTCTTATGGGAGAACAAATTTCTCCTGTGCTGTTGCTTAAAATGAAATTCTCAGTGAAATGTGTCACTGTCTAGAGAAGAGACCTCAGCTATCCTGTCTTGACTGACTACTTCCCTTTTTTTTTTAAATCAGTCCAGCCAACACAGGGGCATGGTAGCTGAAATTGCTTTTTTATCCCCAAAATGCCTGGAAGGTTTTGTTAAAAAGAAAACTGGAAAAGTGGCTTTTCTGTCGTATCTGTCTCGAACCTCTGCCCTCATGATGGAGGGGGACAGATGCCCTGCAGTGCAAAGGACTTTCAGAGGTCATAATTCACCTTGACCAAAAAGAAGCAAACATGCACACACTTTAGAGGAAACACATGAAACTTTATTTTTGGCTGTGTTGAATCTAATATTTTTAATGACTGTTTCCTTTCATTATTCACAAGCATTTTCTGAAAAACTGTTAATCCCATCCAGCTGCTGCGTTTATGACTGTTCTGTTTTCTTGTTTCCTTCTTTATTACTATGTTTACTGAGTACCTTACTCTGCTTCTTATTGTCTGACTGCTGTTTGACATAGATGCTGAATATGATGAGTGTGTCTTCTAATGTTTGCTACAATGCCAGTATGTACTGTATATATGCTGGGAGGAACAAGTAGGTAGTGACTTTTTCGACAGTGTATTTTTCTATGTCTCACTGTGTTTCTCTACAGAGACATGTGCAGTGAACAATGGCGGCTGCGATAGCACATGTCATGATTCAGTGACAGGAGTCCGCTGCAGCTGTCCTGTCGGCTTCACTCTGCAGCCGGACCGCAAGACCTGCAAAGGTAAACCTGCGCCATTAAAACCACACCTGTCCAGATGTCTACAAATTCATCACAGAATCATCAAGTTATTTACGTCCTCCCTGATAGCAACTTTTGCTACTATCATTGTTTTCCAACCACTAGTGCTCTGTCAATGTCTATATCCTTACTGGTGCCACCAATCTTACACTGCTTTCTGCTTTTTAGCTGCATATTTTGAGTAATATTCTGTCAAGCAAACTGTTTTCCCACTACAGTACCATCATCCTCCTGTCTGGAGGTTGACGGAGCATACTAAACTCAAGGAAACTGCATACTGTAGCAACTTTTTTTATTAAATAAAGTATACAAAATGAACTCCAAACTTTAGGGTGAAACTTAGCATTGTATTAGTAGACTTTGAAAACAAAGGCAGTACTTACAGACAGGGAGTTAATACGAGGACAAAATGTGTTTCCAGGGTTTGAAATCTGTCAGCCTTTAACAACTCGTAATGTTACACTAACAACTCTGATAAAAGTAAATGGGCTTATATTAGTTTAGTTTGAGAGGAAACAAGAGGAAAGCAAACCCATAGCTCTGGCACGAGAAGACAGGGGCTCGCTGCAGGCCAGAATCTTCTGAAGAGCAGAGACAAGTAAAGCAAGGAGGGGATTATTTTATACCATTTCAGATCCATTTATTTCAACCAGATGATGAAGAACAGATGCCTTATTTGTGATGATGATTAAGAATTAATCAGAGCTGCAGCCAAACTTGCCAAGGCAGAGCTCCCTCCCACACATGGAGGAACACATGATATATTGATTGGGTATTGGCCACACGAATGAAGAGTAGAGTATCCGGAGGGAGATGGACCAATGCTGCATCCCATTACAGCCACACGCAAACTGATGTTATCCATTCTGAGGACCATTAAGGAAATACCTGAAGCTAAATTCCACTTTCTGACTCTCATGGCAGTTTTACCAAACAACTGCTTTTTTGAATACTTCAATAGTTACTGCACCATTAGCCAAGCTCTCTTTGTTCTTACGTATCCACCTCACTGAGTAGATTCTCTAAGAACAGCTATAATCAGTCTTTTTATAAGATATGTATATGTAAATAGGTTATTATATAATTCATCAAGAAGATAAATATGTCAGTGCTGTATTTATGGCTTGTGCATCCATTCCCTCTTATATAACAGGTTAAAGTTAATTGTGCACTCCTTTTACCTCAATGATGGTCGATTTGATTGTGCATCTACTGTTTTTTTTTTCACAGACATTGACGAGTGCCGTCTTAACAATGGCGGGTGTGATCATGTGTGTCGAAACACAGTGGGCAGCTTCGAGTGCAGCTGCAAGAAAGGCTACAAGCTGCTGACCAATGAGAGAACATGTCAAGGTATGTAGCCCCTTTGATAACCTTTTACCAGCAAATGTTCTTGTGGACTACTTGAGAACATATCCTCAACACTTACATTCTTATAGATTCTGATTTCTGCATTGATTAGCATGAATGATCAACCTAAAAATCCATCTTAGTCGCAAAAGTATTCTCTCTTCATCCTGCAAAGAAGCCAAACCAGGCCTCTCTGGCTTGTTTATCTGTTATATTTGGTGGTAGCCATCGCTCAGCAGGAGCTGGGAGGACTAGCTGCAGAACAAATAAAGAGTTTGCCATGGCCGAACACAGGTGTGGGGAATTAAAGCTCCAACTCTTAAAACCTCTGGTTGTTGCGTGAACCTAGCCACTGCAGAAACATCTGGTGAAAGAAGACAGACAGGCTAGAGCTGCGAGCCGAGCTCTTGGAGTGGAAAAACAGATGACATGCTATTTTTTAATTCTCTTTTCTTTATTGATGTGGTCGATCAATATCCAGCCTGGTACACATCATTGTCATGCAATGGGTTTAGAGTTGCTGCACTGAATCACAACACTCTGTACACAGTACTAAACGTCTTATGTCTTCTGTGAAAATGAACTCTGCAGCCACTTTGTTGTCGCTTCAAATCTATTTCTGGTGCGACGCCTTTCTCTCATTTCTTAGAGCAGAACAATGCAGAGTTTATTTTGCCAAAATAGCACTGATAACTAAAAAATGTGGTCTGCACATGTGGGAATGTAAATGACGGTTTGTTTTCTGTGGCACCATGCCCTACCTAACATCGCCATCGTGTGCTGTTTGGGTGCGCAGGGGCAACAATGTTGTCCTTGTTTGGTGATGTGTGTTTTGTCTGGAGCGAAGGGTGGTGATAAAGCTCACCTCATCTCTCGCTGAGTGAGGTGTGGCCAGGCTCTCACACACACACACACTCCACACTGCACTGTCACCTGTCTGCCCGCTATCCTCTCCTCTCATTCCTTTCATTTTTCTCACCCATGGAACAAGTGTTGGGCCAAAGACAATCAGAAATGCCTTCAACACAAAGTGAACTATATTCTAATGATGATATATTTGAATTCAAATCTGAGAGGGATTTAGAATTGCAACTATCCAACTCACAAGAGACAACTTTAAAAAAGAAAGCTGAAAATCAAAGCAGCATGGGGCCAAGTTAACTGGCCCTTAATTTGGGAAAAGCTCCAAAAACATTTCATTTGACTGTGTATGTTTATTTTTGTCATTTATAATTCATGTACATAACATTTATTTTCTTATTTGGATGTCTTACTGTATATGAGACCATCCTTCCTAAGTGCATGTCCCCACTTTGTAATGCAAGTTTTTTTATAAGTTTCAAAGCCCAACCAGATAACCTTTTTTTCTCAGAGTTCACAGAATTCCTTCAGAGCCACAAAGACAAAATACATCTGTTCTCATTGGCTGATCTTCTTGTGCAAAAATCTTTGGAGTCTCTGTTTATCTATAATCCCATCATGCATCTCTCTTATGAGCATAAATCCAAAACTGGCGGATTAAAAACATTCATTGTGACCTGCAGCAAGCGGTACAGCACTCGGTTTTTGTTAATAAGTACTTGTGCTTGGCGGTGGGTAGCGGTGTTTTGTGACAGCAGTGACACTTAAAGAGACGTTTGCTGTCTCCGCGAGGTGTTGAGATGTGTAAACTGAACTCTGTGTTTATCTTGGTTTAAACAGTCATGGTGTTTCCCTGCTGTCAGTGGACCATGGCCCATAAGTCAGGACGGGGCATGTCTGCTGAGCCCCTGTCAGCATTCCTCCACCCTCAACAATCTACCTCTCACTCCTAATCCACATGAGGGCACTCAGCGAGATGTTCAGATGCTGTGATTTCTCCAGTGGGAACATCTACCATAAAGATCTAATCTGTTTTGTAAAAAAAACACTGACCTTTTCTAGATTTTAGCCAACCTCATTTGCCTCCTTAGAACTTTGTAATTAGAAAAGGTGGACGAGTCCTGACGCGGAGATCAATCGGGTGCAATGCGTGGGCAGATAAACAGGGAGCTAAGAGAAGAAATAATGAATGGAAACTCTGAATTGTTATTTGAAGTGGAAGTGACATGACTGTTCTCATCCTTCTAAGTTTCCAAGCACTTGCGTCACCTCTTAATGCCGGCGTGCCCTCCCACTGCATACTTCACCTTAGCTGCCTATAGTTAATGAGTGTATTACTGCAGGAGTCCCAGATGTCTTCACACATCTAATCTGTAGCGTGGCACCACACAACACAAAATGATATAATGATAAGTTACAGATCCACTACTGGCGTCACTTATTACAACTTTTTTTGAGGGTAAACTGAGTCACCACGCCTCTTTCCCAGATGGTTACAGACCCTATGTTTTAAATTGTGCTGAGCTAAGTTTATGCTCAATATGCCAACAAAAAAGCACTTTTGCAATGCCTCATATACTGTAGCGTGTGAAAACCCCTGCTGCTGTTATGAATCTCCTTGAGCCAATAAAGGGGAGAAAGAGTGAGGACTGTATGTTGTATCTTTAATTGTTTGCACTTTAAAATTCTCCATATAAAACCTTGCATCAGGTTCTGAAAAAACACACAAGAAAGAAAGCACATTTTCATCTTTTGGCTCTTACAACATGCCTGCCACGTATTAACCTGTGCTGGTCTGCACTAAGTACAGCTGTATTGTACATGAAGGAATATGCCAAGCATGAAACCATATGTGGATATTTTGTGCAATGCTATGCAAGATTTCTGGAGACGTTTATCCGTCTGTCTTCAAGGTAACCCATTATTTAACTGAACGCCTGTAATTGCTGTGAAATACCTGCCTCGTGTGTTTGAAGATAATATGGCATAATATTCCTGGGAAAATCCTACGAACCTTTCTTAAATTAGCCAATTAGACATCCAGCTAAATTGTAGCACATCCCAGTTTTTCTCCCAGCATGTGCTGTCTGGGCTTTTTGCTGACATTAAAGAAAACCTTGATGACAATAAAACCAAATGTCAGCCATCTCGTATAGCTTATATATATCTAATATCAATCCTTGTGGTCTTTGAGCTGCTGACATTTAAGCGACTTATCAAGATGCAGTTGAAAGAGAGCAAGAAAGCTCAAAAAAGACAAGAGAGGTGCAAGGAGCTGTTGCCTTTTGGATGAATTCTGCAGGTGTGGCTGTTTTCAGAGAGAGGAAAAGCAGGCTTCTGCATCCCACATATTTCGACTAAATACGATGATTGATGTAATGTTTATGTCCTCAGAACAAAAGAAAAATAGGCAAATTATGGGATTTCTAACAATACTGGGTTACTTATGGTATGGTTAAGAGGATAAAAGGGGGAAATGATTGGCAGATTCAATGTGGGGAGAACGACAGTAATTCAGCTGCTATTATCAGGTGAAGAGCAGACTTTCTTTTGGCTCCTGCTGTGGTTCCTTGTTATTTCAAAAACACTTGGAAAAATTCAATTTCAGAGCAATCGAAATGGACAACTGAATGGCATCAAGAGGTCAGCCACTATACAGAGTACCAAACAGAAGACCATTATTTTTTTGTTGTAACATGTGATTTGGCCCTTTACAATTCATGACAAAAGATGAAAACAGAAAAAAAAGGCATGAAAGGAGGGGGGGAGAGTCCTGTTTCAAGATCTTTTTGTGATTTGTTGGACTGTTTGAGAAGTTTCGTTTCTTTCTTTTCTTACAGACATCGACGAGTGCTCTTTTGATCGCGCCTGTGACCACTTCTGTGTCAACTCTGCCGGCAGTTTCCAGTGCCTCTGTCATAAAGGCTTCATCCTCTACGGCCTGGCACACTGCGGAGGTGAGCAGCACTCTTCTCTACGTCTTCCTCCTGTCCATCACTCTCCTCTGCATCACCTCTTTGCCAACCTTACATGAGTTGCTCTAATGTTTCTCAGAAATTCATAACTACACTAAATAGATTATTATTGTTGATTTAAAGTTTCGCTGATAGTTTAGTTGAAATTCACTGCAATATGCTGTAAATTAAAGGATGGTCAAATACATTTTAAGCTGATAAATGGAAGCATAGTATATACTTTAGATTTGGCTAATAGATCTACAAAGCAAACTTTATTTTATGTTTGGTTTCAAACTTTTCAGGCATTGATAGTTTAAAGCCATGCTAGGGACCTGGCTCTAGGAATGTTAGTCAGTATGTCTCAACAACTAGGTAGATTCAGAGATACATTTATGGTCTCCAGCTGATGAATCCTGAAGCCTTTGATGATCCCCTTACTTTTCCCCTCGCACCACTATGAGCTTAATATGTATAGCTTTGAGTAAAATGTCTTAAGAACTGTTGAATTGATTACCGTGACATCGAAATTCCTCTGGATAATTAGTAGTAACCTCAGTAATGCTTTACCTGTCATATTAGCATCGCCACGTTAGCAGTTAGCTCAAACCACAAATACACAAGTGCACAAGTACAGAACAGTCTCAAATTGCTACTGTACTGTCTTGTTGTTAGTCAACCTCACTACCCAATTTAAAACATATTGAAAGGTAATCCATCAAGGTGAACATTTAATTTACTCTTTAAAAAAATGAATTCAACACAGTGTGTTGTTAGTGTTCATCTTCTAACCTGCTGACTGAAAGGCCCCTGCATGCAGCTACATTCTCAAACCATAATTAACTGTAACTGAAATGAGTGATGCATCCTTGTTTTCAAGCCAGTTTTTAGGTCTCTGAAAGTTCCTTATCGAGAGAATGTGCTGAAATAGGTGGCTGGCTGGAAGGCAGGAAATCAATCTAAGAACCTTTGCTACACTTGGCAGTAATGTGGAGGCGACTTGTGTTGTAGTTAATGGACTCACACTTGAAAAACCACAGTTATGGTCCTTCAAGGTGGAGTGTGACCATGTTCATCAAACATTAGCAGGTACAGTACTCTGGTGTGGAACAGATAGCAGCAACAGCCTTGGGTGTCTGAAGGTGGTGTGTGTGGGCGCGTCACATCTGCCTGGCAGGCAGCGAGAGGCCCACAGCTCATCAGGGTGCTGCGGCGGCCCTTTGATGGAGTGTGTATCACCAGTTAGAATCTGCTGCTGTCTTCAGCGCCTCAGGGCCTCACAGTAGTTCTGGGAGAGACGGAGAGAGACAGCATATGCACTCGAAATACATATCTTTGCAGTGATTTGTTCTGTGTTTTCTTCTGCCTGTAGTCTGACAGGTCTAGTGTTCAGGAATGTTGCAACAGAATGTAGAATAAGGAGTGAGACTGGAGAGCGGTAACATGAAGATGTTCATGAGGTCTGAACAAACACAACAGTGCAGATAGTTACACCCTGCCACCTGAGGACACACTGACTTCTTTTTTTTTACCAGATACTTTCTCCCCATGTTTCCTGTATCTAATAAAGGTAACAAAAATTACTTGAAATGGTTGGTTCCTGCCACAAGTACCACATGCTAAAATTGGCACATCTTCTAGTATTATGCGATCAATTAAAGTGTCCTAGCAATAACATTCTGAAGCAATGCTTAATGAGATGGCTGTAATGCTGCTAGAATGTATTATTTTATTATATCTCACCCTCCACCCCCTGTTATGTCTGGTACAATAACACAACATTTATATTGAATGGGTGTAGTCCAGAGGTTTTCAAAGTTGAAGGCGGGCTTCAAAGGGGTTTCATGGGGGGATCAGTGATAAACATTACATTCATTAAAAGAAGATCACATCAAATACACATAACATTTGGCTAAATAGATACAGTAGTTTTGAGGAACTGTTTTTCATCCTTCCCAGAGTCAGAAACGAATAAATGCCTCAGGACAGACCTTAGTTATGTATTTAGGTTTAGTCTGAAATTATATCAAACAGCTATATTAGAATATCTTGGCTCGATTATTGAGTGTCTATGGGATCACATATCATAATCATGATCCCATAGGCATCCTGGAATTGAGCGAAACTAAGCAACTAAACTAAGGGGGGATGGAGGTGTCTTTTTTTCCAGGCTCTGTCTGAGGGAAGGTCCACCGTCTCACACTTTTAAAACCTCTGGTCTAGCAGTAGGTTCATGGGAGCTATTCCCCACACAGGCGGCTGTATTAGCTGTCAGTCCAGGTAATAAAAGCCCCAGGATTGAATTTGTAGGGCTTTTACTCACATGATGGACTGTGATCAGGCCACGCTGAGCTGGAGAGAAGATGGTCAGGCCTGAGCGACTCTCTATACCATTGTTGAGAGAGAAGGTGATGAATGATTTCCCATCGCTTTTCATCGGCGCCGTCGGAACTGTTAGATAACCCTAAAGATTTATGGCCCTCCCCGTTGTACTCTCCCACTCCCAGCCATAACCAAGGTTATGTTATGCCCTGTGTGGTTTATCAACTGAAATATAGCTGTCAAACAATCTAGAAAGCTGTTCTCAGTGTTAAACAATAGACTCACCCTAAACAAACCCAATTAGGTCAGTGACCTGCTGTCGAGCATTGTGCCGAGGTCTGTCAACATTCCTCCCAAGTGAGAGTTTATTCAGCGACTCTCCCTAGAAAAACAGCCGGCTCATTTTTGCTTATCTGGTAGGAAAACAGTCTTGTGAGTAAACACTTTGTAAGTATTTTTGTATTTAACTCATTCGATCCAACCAGCAATAGAAACTCTGTCTTCTGATACTGAGACATGTATGTGTAAGTAGGTCTGAGAGAAAGACACAAGTTAAACCACAAATAGTTTAAGTTTATTTCATCTTGTTGGGTCAAATTCTTCTACATTACGTAGTTGGACTGGAAGTTGCTGATGCAGATGAATAAGCAAGAAAAAGCGTTACAAATGTAAAGATGGCAAGATTTTCCCATGAACTCCCCAACCCTTCTAAGAAATTCCTTACAAATCACACAAAGCTATTGTTGAGTCTAAATGTCAATTTGTCTCTTTTTATTTCCTTCCCTGACTCATCTCTGCTGTCTCTGTATCAGCACGCAGAGAAAAAGTATTTGGAGGAAGGTCAGAAGACATCTATTTGGTTACACTTCAAGTATGGGAGGAACAAAGATGTTAAAAATACAGTTGCTGGCACTTCCATCAGACTTTCATTAGACTTCTTTGTCCTTTAAATTAAGTGCTTTGATGCAGAGGATAAGCAGCGCACCTCTCACAACATTTCCAAGCAGCTCTGGCTCAACATTGCTGTTGATGAAGTCATCTTCTTCAGGGAGTGCAGAGGCACTGTTTTTATTCAGGGTGAATAATTGAATGAGACAAGAAAGAACAACTCGTATCAGCGGGCCAGATCATCAATCACTGCCATTATCTCCGTCTCTCTCGGTGTCGCCGACGCTTGTCCGCAGCCTGCTGATCCTCGGCTCTACCCACTAAACTCATTTTCAGTCTGGCGTCGATGGCAGCCAGCCTGCATCTGGATCCCGGATGCTTTTAGTGGTTTTAGCTCAGCGTGCGTTTGAATAGGTGATTATAATTTACGGCTCACCACAAGTCTTCCTCACTGAAGAGCAGAGAGGTTTTGACCATTAAATTGAATGTGGCGACATCAAAACGAAGAATCACTTCTGTTTACACGCATACACATTAATCTTCCTACAATGTGACGCTGTGACAGGATGAAGTGATCTGACCCCTGAGGAACTGCTCTTTCACAGCTGTGCTCACAGCACTGTTTCTCTTTCATTGTACTCGACCAAATTGACTCCAGATCCTTTTTACGGACCACATTGTTTCTCACTGTTTCTGATTTTTGGATGAAATCCTTTTCCTCCCTTATTTTATTTTAGGTTTCAGAGGGATGGGCCAGATAGACTTCTTTTACTACATATTGGTCATTTTATATCTTAATAACAATATAGATCACAATACTGCATGTCTTCTGGCTATTAATCTAATAAATGGTCAATATGAAAAATTCAAACAGTTAAGCCTATTTTTGTATATTCTTATTTTATTTAAATACATGACATACGAAAAGTATTAAGTATATTTTCATTCAATTACCTTTAATAGAAATTCCCTCAAAATATGTTGCTTGAGACTATTAGGGACATTTGACTTAGTATGTGCTTTATTATAAATGTTGTCCATAATATTGTGTATTATATCTGTATACTATATGTATAAAGATGTTTTATCAAATTCAATGATCGCTCAGTCATAGTAGGTTTGAACAATTAGGGCTTTTTAGAGACAGTTATACATGTCCGATTAATGTCTACATATTTATCCCCAGATATTGACGAGTGCAGTATAAACCATGGAGGGTGTAAATATGGCTGCATCAACTCTCAGGGGAGCTACGAGTGTACCTGTCCTACGGGACACAAGCTGCACTGGAACAGGAAGGACTGTGTTGGTATGTGGCAGCACTGCCCCCCTGTGGCTCATTCACTCACACACACCCAAAGCACATCCTCATACACTTTTTTTCCTCACTCTCCACTTTCTTTGCCAACAGTTTGTGATTCTCTGTGGGTTTTATTCTCCCTCAGAGCTGATGAAATGCCATCTTGGACTGCTGTCACCAAAAGCCACTCTGACCTGTAGCAAGACGGGCAAGAAAGAGAGCTGCTCACTTACCTGTGCCTCTAAGGCTCACTATCTGGCAGGTATGTTCCCCACAGTGAGCGTGCGATCACAAAACACCACACATGAAATCATTTTTTATTAAAATCCCTTTTTATTTGTGTGTGACCTTTGCAGATTCTGACAGCAGCTACTCAGTGAGTTGTGGTATCCCCCTCCTCAGAGGGAAGTCTTCTGCCAGGCTCAACTCCAGCAACAGTCAGAGCTGCATAGGTTCGCTGCCATTCAGATTTCTATGATCAAACACTTTCCAACAATCAGTAAATGACAGATGGTGTGCCTGATGTTGCAGTGTGCTCCTACCCACTGTGCTGTGTTTGTCTGTAGAGACTCAGGCCCCTCCAGTGAAGCAGACGGCTTCTTTTAAGATCAAAAACGCCAAATGTCACCTTCATCCGAAGCTTACGGGCAGGACGGAGGACAGAGGACGGACCCTCGGACCAGGTCAGTCTAAATCTGTACACATATACTGGTATTTATAGACATTTAAAGCTGTATACAGTTTACAATTAACCATTTTAATAATTTTTCAATGAAAACAAACATGCCTGTAAGGTTTTTCTGTTGTTCTTTGTAGTATAAATGTATATTTTATATATCCTGGTCATACAAAAGGGTCATTAAAGGACATAATATTCCATCTTGGTCTCAAACCTCTATTTTGAAAGTCTATGATGAATTCAAAATGAATCAAACCTTTTCCAATTTAATTTGAATTTGTAATAACTTTCCAAGAAATGATGTACATTTACTCTTAAATATAAATAACATTAATCGTTACTAATATTTAATGGGGATTTACTAATGTATCTTCATGTTGTCCACAGGAGGGGGGCAGCCCTGCAGCAACTGCCTGGTGACGTTTGTCAACCTGAGGTGTGACTCCTCTAAAAAAACTAAAGGCCGACGGGCTCGAAACCCCTCCAACAAAGAAGTGACGCGCATCACTTTGGAGCTGGAGGCTGAGGTCAAACCTGGAGACACCACAGGTCAGTCCTCTCATTACATACAACGCCTTAACAGCAGTTACTGAGGATTGTACTGTGCAGCCTACTTAGTTATTTCATTTAGCTATTACTCAAAGCTGCAACCTAATTTACAGCAATGTTAGTTGTCAGTGTGTCAAAATATGCAGAGTACATTTACAGATTTACTGTGCTTAAGTACATATTTATGGTCCTTTATTGAATAGTGTGCATTCCAGCCTATGTATACTTCTTATCCAATACAATTCAGATATAATATTGTACTTTGAACTCAAGAACAACTATTTTGTTTATTTAGTTAGTAACATTAGCATTTGCTTCCAAAAAGAAGATTTTTTCACAGCATCTTGAGAAAATGTACAAAATGTATGTGTAGTTTTTACTCATTTCAATCCAATTTTACTAATTTAAATCCATTTTAAATAAATAAACAGGGAGTTGCAATCTCAGCTGCCTGAGACAGCGCATGGAGAAGCAGGTGAAGACGTACATCAAGGCTCTGAAGAAGTCCATCAACCAGGAGCGCTTCCTGATCCGAGTCGCTGGTCTGGAGTACGAGGTGGCCCAGAAACTTACACAGGCTTCTCCCACTCACGAGAACTGTGGGCCGGGCTGGGAGAAGGAGAGCGGCCGCTGTGGTAAGACCGGAGAGCTGGACCGGGAATTAGAGCTAATTCGCTTTTTTGGCCAAAAGCAGTAGATTCCTACTTTGAGAACAATGGCACACTTAGAATTGTACATTTTGTAAAGCTATTTAAGAGCAGCTTGAACTTTCTTATCCAAAGGGAAATTGTTTTGAAGAACTTGCAGTAGAAAATAGGACAGAGTGCAAATTGTAATATATGAAATGCAAAGTGCAAACCCATATTATACAAAATGCCTAGCATGTTAATAGGATCATAGATAGAAGAAGTAGCTGGATAATATCAGGTCTAATCTATGCTGTGAATATCTGCAATACAAGGTTGTGTGAGGTGAAATATACCCTCAGTCACCAGTAGCTACAGCTGTACAATCTAAGAAAGTTAAATATGACTATTCTGCCTTTTATGATGCCTGCAATGTTAATGAAATTACTTTGAAGTCATATTTTGTGATGGAGTTGTACTAGACCGTACAAAATCCAGTCCAACTCCACCTTTATGACCACCATTATAAACCAATTCCGTTTATTTTTTTAAAAGTGAAGTGTGTCCTCTGATTGGAGCCGATGTTTTTCTCAGTCAGATGCTTGTCGGGGTCTTATTACCACGGGGAGCAGGAGCGCTGCGTTCAGTGTCCGCCCGGCACTTTCCAGGAGAGAGAGGGGCAGCTGGCCTGTGACCTCTGTCCCGGCAGCGACGGCCACGGGCCGGTGGGGGCCCGAAACATCTCCTCCTGTGCAGGTAGTCCAAATTGTGTTATTGCTACAGTATATTGTGCATTGTGATTTCTTGTCTTGTCTTTTTTTAAGCATGTGTTATATAAATTCTGTCAAATTATCCAAATGCTCAATCCAAGGAGAAATGCACACAGCCTTTGTTAAAAGTTAAAGCAATTTATCATCTTCTAGTGGAAACCCAAAAGAATAAGGATTAAACTGAAATTAGCGTAATATGTAATAATCCTGCATTGGGATGGTTTCGTCTGTTTACTTATTAGCAATGTATCATAAAACAGCTGATATTGAACTCAACATAATGAGAGTGAAAAATATGTAATTAGTAATGATATTAAATAAAACAACCGTAAGCACATTAACACACAAACTCATATTTTTCCTCCATCCCAAACTAAAACTTGTGATATATAATTATGATAAGCTACCTTTGCCAAACCTCTGCGTGTTGAAATCCAGGCCAGTGTCCAACGGGCTCCTCCTCCAACGATGGCTTCAAACCGTGTCAGGCGTGCCCTCTGGGCTCCTACCAGACAGATTTGGGACGGACCCTGTGCTTCCCCTGTGGGGGGGGACTGGCCACCAAGCGGGAAGGGGCCAGCTCCTTCCATGATTGTGAAGTCAAAGGTCAGCTTGTGGTGTTTTTACACAGCCAAAAAAGTTAAACGTACTCTAATCATTTTGCATAACATTCCCTACTTAATGCACATTTTCCTTTCCACCCTGCAGTTCAGTGCTCTCCCGGTCATCACTACAACACCACGGTACACCGCTGTATCCGCTGCCCGGTAGGGACCTATCAGACAGAGTTTAGACAGAACTACTGCATTACCTGTCCCGGGAACACCACCACTGATTTTGACGGTGCCACAAGTGTGTCGCAGTGCAAGAGTGAGTATGAAAAATGCTTTGTGTTGTCAGATTTCTTAAACATGCACAGTAGACTTATTTTCTTCGTGTGTGTGTGCGTCTAGACAGGCAATGTGGCGGCGAGATGGGCGAATTCATGGGTTACATCGAGTCACCTAACTATCCCGGTAATTACCCCGCTAATGTGGAGTGTATCTGGAACATTAACCCACCAAGCAAGCGCAAGATCTTAATCGTGGTCCCGGAGATCTTCCTGCCCTCGGAGGATGAGTGCGGAGATGTGCTGGTTATGAGGAAGAACTGTGAGTGTCTCTTGTTATTTCAGTGGAATTATAGTGTAAGATAATATCACCATACAAACCAGATTAGTCACCATTGTCCTTTCCTTGCCTCTGAAGGGTCTGCTTCATCCATCACCACCTACGAGACGTGCCAGACGTACGAGCGGCCGATCGCCTTCACAGCTCGCTCCAGACGTCTCTGGATTAACTTCAAGTCCAATGAGGCTAACAGCGCCAGAGGCTTTCAGATCCCCTACGTTACTTATGATGGTATGTTCATCTCATTTAGCTCACCAGCTGTGTCTCTAAATATCCGTCTCTCTCTGCCCTCAGGCTTTTCCACAAACTCATGACATTATTTTTATGAGGTTCCCGAAATGAATGAATATAATGAAGAAGTTGTGACTCAGATGTGTAGTAATAATAACTTTATTTACAAAGCATTTTCCGAGAGCCAGTTACACATTGCATAACAAATTGAAACTCAACAGATAGAGAAGCAAAATGTTCAAATAATTACAATAAGGAGCACTTTCACTCATTAAATAAGAAGAAATGCAGCAGAAGCACTGAAAAAATGTACGTTGAGGGGAATTTTAATAAAGATATAAATCTAGTGTACCTGGTTTCTGATTAGATCCAGTATGAGAAGGGGTATTTAGATCCTTACTCAACAGATATGTTGATGTTTAAAGTGAGTTGTATGATGTATTTATCCATAATTCTTTATTGGAACTAGTTATTTCTACCAAAGTCATGGTCCCTTTGAAATCGGTCTACAGTGTCTTCTATGGTTAACTACTGTGAGCACTACAAAAAAATCACTTCCTTATATTGTAGAAGTGAGTTGGATACCTCAAAACTTAAAGTTCCTGTAAGTTCTCAGCGTTTTCATTGTTTTTAATACCTGTTTTTATCATTTAGTGACGTAACTTATAATCACATGTTTTATTCAGAGGACTACGAGCAGCTGGTAGAGGACATAGTGCGAGATGGAAGACTCTACGCCTCAGAAAACCACCAGGAAATCCTCAAGGTTAGCAAATGTTTTTACTGTGTTTATTTCTGGCTTTAATTTCTTGTTGATATATACGACCACCTGGAAGAGGTGACTAATTAAACCACAAGCTGAACCTTAAAAGGTGTTGTCTGTTCAGAAAAACAAAACACAAGACCTTGGATTAGTCAGTCGGTACGTTAATAATGAAATTTGCTAATGCCGTCATAAAGGTGTGTAATTTGTTTGGCAACGTTGTGTAATAGCTTGACATGTAATTCAAACGTATTATTAAGGACGAAAATATGCTAAGTGTGACGTTTACATCCGCCTGTTCTTCCCTGCAGGATAAAAAACTGATTAAGACTCTTTTTGATGTGCTGGCTCACCCAAACAACTACTTTAAGTACACCACTCGGGAGTCCAACGAGATGCTGCCCCGCTCCTTCATCCGCCTCATAAGCAGCAAAGTCTCTGCTTTTCTGCGACCATACAAGTAAAGCTTACACGGCGGCCGAAGCACCGGATTGTGACCCCCTCCCCCGACGCCCCCCTCCACCTTACAGGCCACATCCCTCACAGGACTTACTAGTATGTTTACGCTCTCCTAATATCCATAAGCTTTGAAAATAAACACTATGCAGACCTGAGAAATACTGAGAATGTGTGTTTTAGATTTGTTTTCATTCAGAGGGATGTAGAGTATTTCAGAGGGTTTGGTTTCTGTTGTGCAATGAAACCACACAAAAAAACAAAAGCGCCCATTTCAGACAGTAGGAGTAATGTTGTGTGTGCGGTTTGAGCTTGATAGAGCTTGTTATTGTATTTTAAATGAGCGGTCTGAGTCTCAACTCCTACCATTAAGTATGACTGTAAGTGTTGTGTAACCCTAGTTCCATCTCCAGTGTCTGTGCTGTCCTCGAGGAGGAGAGGTTGTTAAATTCATGTCGCAGCTGCGTTCCAGGTCATTCGAAGCCTTATTATATTTGAGCTCTTAGAGCAGTTTCCAAGGGTTTTACTGTTAAAACAGTTAATCTGTGTTTTGTTTCGTCTGTCTAGACTGTACCAGTGTTTTCCAACCTTCAGATTATTTCTGTTGCTCTTTTTTTTAAAGCAAATACAAACCGGGGGATAATAGTTCCAGGAACATAGTGGACATTTGGGAGATGAATAACAAACTAATAATTGTGAGAGCCACAGAAATGAGATAATGTGATGTCTAGTGGAACATGTCTCTGAGAGAGAGATAAGAGAGAAATGTCTTTGAGGGACATTATGTTTGCTGCTTCTTTTAAAAGGTCACTTTAATTCTTCAATCTCATTGTCTGTCTTTCTGATGTACTCGACACTAATAGTCTCTACGTTTAAACTAAAGTTCTTATACACAGTAAGTTGATATTCTCACACTGCCTTTCTGTGGACAACCAGTTTTTATTTCAATCTTGTAAATAATGAAAATAGATTAGACGAGGGTTGAATTCTTTAATCCTACATTTCTTTTGTTACGCAGGACCCCCCAAATCACTTTTGCCCCACCAGTCTCAAATCCAAAGACACCAGTACCCTCTCAAACACACTTTGTTCTGTCCCAATGAAGACAGCTCTTCCAAAGACCGCCCAAAAAGGGTGGGTTTCTTTGTTTTGTGCACTAAAATCAGAGCCCGCCATCCTACCTTTTAGTACAAAGTGTAATGATAAAAAAACTACACCTTAAAGTTGGTTACACCCTATTGTGACCCACAACAAAGCTTGTGAAATGTGTTCTAAGCTGCATTCCTGCTAAGACTCATTGTATGAAATATGTATCCGTCACTGGGGCAGAAAATGTTTAGGTTCCAACGTGTAACTAATCTCCTCTTCAGAGGAATACAAAAAAAGTCTGTTAAGAAGCGTAATAATTCAATATGATTTGTTATGAGAACAGCAACCAAAACAGGGTAAAATTATTAGTTTTTTTAGATCTAACATTTTGCTTCTTCTTAAGATCTGCCAAGTAGTTAGGAATTGTTGCGACATTTTTGGAAATACATTTTTCTTGCTGAGAATTAGATGAGATTGATACCACTCTTATCTTAACATTAAATGTGAAGTAACAGCCTTCAGAAAGTTAGTAAACCACAAACAATAGAAACAGTTAGCCTGCCTATGTCTAAAGGTTACAAAATCAACCCACCAGCAACTCTAAAGATCCCAAACCAACATTCAAATCTTGTGCTTTTAATAAGTAAAACTCAATGTAACTTGCCGACGGTGCAGGGACTTCCTGGAGTCTCTGCTTTTGTTGCCTCTCAACCTTGGTAACTGCATGAAGGACACTCGGAAAGAAAATAAAGTAGTATTTTTCCCCAAATTTAGGGACTATTTAAAAAAAAAACTCATAATCAGCACCACTGCAGTCAAATTGGTCCAAACGACTACATGGTCAGAGTGATAATCCCAACCCCTTAATCCGTACATTCAGCCCTCTGGAGATATGAAATAGAGTTGACCCTTGCGCTCTTATCCTGTTTCCTTTTCCAGGGAGTTTTGTTTGGTTCCCACTCATGTAAATAAAAAAAGTGAGATGGTACACTTCCTATCCTGTACCACACTTTAGGATGACAAAGGGATTTTGACCATTTTGTCAAATTTGAGGGCGATGCTGGACGAAACCATGATTTAATGTTGGTTTGTAATTCCTCCACACAGGCCTCAGTTTATCTCCAGGTATTAGACTCACCCCCGCCCCAAACCAGAATCAGCTAATTTCCTGCAACCTGATACTTTTTTGTTTGTATTGTTGCCTTTTAACGAGAGTTTGCTATGATGTATCATAGAGTTGATAATGATATTTGCACTTGAATTGTTATTGCTCATGTAAAGAAATGTCTGGATTTTGTATTGTCTTTTTAAATGAATGGAATTGGTGTTCTTATTTTCTTGTAGCTTGTTTGTTCATGAAATGCTCACTCACCGTTTAGTCTATAGAGATGATACACATAACATTATCAACTGTTAAAGAAAAAAAACTATGTACAGGAGGTGAATGAAACAAGTTTGTACTTGTCGCTGCCCAAAACACTTATTGAAATAAACATACTGTACTTCAGCTTCATTTCAAATATTTAATGTCTTTACAATGAGTTCATACAAGTTTTATGAGCAAGTAAGAAAATATATCACTATTAGTCCATTATTATAGTGCAGCAAGACAGTTTTAAGCTTAAGAGACTATTATTCCCATCCTCTGGACTGCTGTTTAACCAGGTTGGATTAAATAATGTAGTTCACATTTCAGCTAGCTTATTAGCCCCTCCGGTTGGTGCGACTGCGACGTGCTGAAATAAACAGATGGTCATAAGTTTTGTAAAATATATATTATGAAGAAATTCAACCAAGAATGTATTACTTACGTGTGCATTTAGGGAGGCCAGGGGACCAGCGGCCATCATGACCACAGGTAATGGAGCTGGGGCCGGACATCGTGTACCCCCGCTCACACTCGATGGAGAGGAAGTCCCTTTCTTGGAACTGCTTGTTCTGAGCTCTCATCCAGTAGGCATTGGCCACATTTGGAGGTGGACATGATACCTCTGTGGAGAAATTGAAATAAAGTCAGAAAAATATATAGTTGATTAAAAGGTCACCTATTAGGCAAAATCCACTTTTTCATGTCTTTTATACATAAACATGTGTCCCCTCTGCGTGAAGAGATTCTGAAAGTTTCAGGAAAAAAGATTCACTCACTTTTTATCATGATCAATTTATATAAAAACCTGTCTGAAAATGAGCTGATCAGATTTTGGCCACTGTCATAACGATTGTTTGGCTTGTGTAACCATTAGCCACCTTATCACCTGAATCTCCTCCTAGAGCACCATTGTGGTTTTTTTAACCAAATATCTCTCAGAGGGGCGTGGGGAGTGGCATCTCATTTTAATCTAAAGTAACAGACAGAGAATCAGCACTTTTGAAACAGGGCTGAAACAGAGGGGTTTATGGGATGCTACAATGCATGCTCTTGTATATATATATATATTGTATACATGTTTTGTATATATCTGAGACCTATAATATATTGAGGAAAAACAGTATAATAGGGGAAGTTTGTTGTAACTAAGAGTATCATAAACCTCTGCATTCAGGAGGAGAGTTATCCCACGTCCCGTCCTTGGTGCACCAAATGTTCCTTTGTCCAATGAGGGTTCCCGCGCGACAATGGTAGCTGATCACAGTCCTGTATGTGTACGGTGGCTCGTGAGGGCCTCTCATCTCTGCGTTGGTCACTGTTGACGGCTCCTCACACACCACAGCTGTAAAAAGGTTAAATAGTGTTGGCACAGCTAAAGGGGAAGGGAAATGAATGATCAACTGGCAAATGATGCTTGTTCACCTCACCTTCACAAGCAGGAACACGTGCGTCCCAGCCTTTACTCAGGCAGTTTCTGGTTGCCTTTCCTACAAGACGATACCTGATGAAAAATGATCAAAAGTCAGAGAGTTTACAAGATGGAGAAAATCCTGTAAGTGTTAAGAATAACAGTATGTAAGAAAGCAGCGCAGTCTAAGGATCTTCCTCACCCCTCATTACAGACAGCTGTAGCCTTGTCTCCAAACTCCAATCCAGTGTATGTAAACTGTCCATTCATAATATCTCCTGCAGAGCCACATGACTTTCCTTTTGGGGATAAATAAAGGTAAAGTTAACCAGCTCATTGTGACCTTGTAAGATATTGTTTTTTATATTTATTTGCAGTCTATCAGTCATCAGGACTGTAAAATAGGTCTTTAAACATCTGTTTGCACACAAAGACAGAAATATACAGAAGCCTTATTTGTCAGATTAAGAAAGCATGCACTTTAAAAAAATCATTGGGCGCAAATACACAAGACACATTTCTAGGAAATCCACACGTTTCAATAAAAATATAGAAATGCCTTTTAAACAAATGGTCAGAAATCAATGGTTGTGCTGCTCAATCAGTCAATAGACCTCTTAATGAGAAAAAAGAAAAAGTATGATTTCACAAATGTTGTTCCATATTAATAGTGCAATGAAGAGGACAATTCGATATTTAGGAAAAAAGTAATAAAATAAGTCAGTATAATATGTTACTTGAGTCTTTACGTTGACATTTGAGCGTCAGTGGGGTCCACTGTCCCTCGATACACCTGCGGTATCTGCTGCCACCTGCCTGAACGTATCCGACATCACACACGGAATGGACTTTGTCACCAGAAGCGAACAATGTCTTTTTGATGTACCTGTCAGCGAGGTTAGTGTTGTCAGTGTTTACCGGCACCCTGCATCCCCCTGCTGAACGGAGAAAAGTTTAGAAACAGAGCTCTTCTTTTGAATAAACTGACATTTCTCCTTACTGCCAAAATGCTGACAACTTGCTTATGTGGTGGAAATACTAACTCACTTCCTTCATTGGGTGACAGAGTTGTGTTTGGTGCAGGCCGGCACTGAGGGGGCGGGGGCTGCCACAGACCACCAGCTCCACACCTGATGCTCTGAGCTCCATCCAGCTGGAAACCCTGACTGCAGGTGAAGGTCACAGAGACCCCCACCCGGTGCACAGACACAGCTCCAGCACTGCTCACCAAGTGCCGGGCCACTGCAGGGGGGGGGCAGGTGGCCTCTCCCTCTGAGGAGATTTCAATAGATTTTCTGTTAGGTGATTCTCTTCCCTCCAACTTGCATAGAAAAATACCTAAACATGAGTAATATACTGAACAACCTTAATATGGTATCACATCCTTATTGCATAATGGAAAATGTGTTGAAATGAAGTATGAAATGAAGGATTAAGAAGAACACCTTCATTGTGCGTCACATGCAGACGGTAATTACTCATTTTTGACAACAATGCCCACTTGAGATCATCTATTAAGGCGCAGCAACTTCAGTGTGTAAAGAATATAAATGGTTTGTGGATCATTATTGCTCACCTTCACAAGACGGAATTTCACTGGTCCAGCCCGACTTCTTGCAGATAATGTAGTCAAGTCCTTTCAGAGAGTATCTGTGAACATAAACACAAATTCAAAGGCTTATTCTGATCAAGTTTTACAGGATGTCAATCATCCTTCTACGTACCCCTCATTGCATACAGCATAAGCTTTCTCCCCAATGAATGAGTTCCCTTCATACTGGAACTCTCCATGAGGCAGATCCCCGGCATTGCCACATGATTTCTCTGCAAAAAAGAAAGAAAGAGAGAGAGTTGATGACCAATCAGAACAGGAATCAAGGGTGAAATGTTATTTGCCAGCTGGCGAAAAAAAAAGACAAGACAGAGATGCCTTTAATTTACAAATTGCAAAACAACCCTGATAAGCTGCTCCAAAGCCTATGTGCAAACCTCAGTGTGTTTTGTCACTAGGATCTGATGGGTGTTTTTATGGAAATATTTAAAACTGTGAAATGTGTAAAGGCACCGTAATGCAAATGCTTCAGTTTGAGGATGGCAATCATCTGGTTTTCTTAAGTGCTTATTGTTGGGGAAATATTTTCCAAGGCCCATAACTTTGACCCAGTTTATCAGTTAAAACTGTCCTGACTGAGCACACGCACCTGTAACCTTGGCTGCTGTGCTCTCAGTGTTGTGTCTCCCTGTTCCTGCCTGTTGACGTCTGCTGATAGAGGTGTTATGGTTCTATCTTGTTATGCACAATGTTGATTATTTTCTCAGAACTAGCTAAATACATGGGTATTTGAGAATGAGAATTTGCCCGTGTGGTCAAACCGTGGCCCGTGACATGTCTTGTGAATTCTCCGGCCGAAGCTCCAAATAAACCATCAGTGTTTGCCATCAAAGCTCCTCTCGTGTCTCTCTGAATCCTGTCTCCAATTGCTTCAGAAGTTTCCCCCACACTTATGATCTTAACACTTAACCATGTAAACTCCACACAGATGTGTCTGATCATAAAAAAGGAATTGGTTATCTAGGATTTGCCTTTTACATGTTATCTAAAATAATTGTTGGTCTGTGTGAACTTTCATTAAAAAAGGGATACAAATTTATAAATATCCTTTAATCTAGTGTCATTGTTTGGGTAGCATCTTAATAAAAAGCTGCATAAATATTTCAATGTTTTCTCTTGTTTTTATTCTAAAGCTAATTGCTTTGCTTTCAGACTTTAAAACATGTGTTATTGGTTCTATAAGATTTAGTAACCACGATATTATGTGCTAGGATTACATGTAGGTTTACCCCATGGCCGCTAGGGGGATACAGTCAGTTTGTAAAATGTGCTTAAATCACATTAGGCTACTCTAAACGTCTCGTTGAAAACCATCATATATAACAGAAACATTAACATATAACCGTATATTGACCATTTTAATGCTAAACTAGATGGCTAACAAGTATGCAAGGCACTTACTTTCGCATTTCAGAGTCAGTGTGCTCCATCTCCCAGCGACACACTGTGCGGCTCTGCTCCCCCGGGATGGAGTGAAGTCATCGGCGCAGTCATAGTACACCTTCTCCATGCTCAGGAACTTCTGTAAACCGCTGTATTTCTTCACTAGTCTCGCATTTTGGTACTCCGGTGGTGCCGAACATTGTTTTGGTACTTGAGCTTTTATTTTGGAAAATGAAAAGATTTATTTTACATACAAATAACAAATAACAATCTGGAAAATTTGAATTATTCTACTAATTACCTGAAACGCCAAGGGCAAACGATAAAAGCAGAATATTCAGACCGATATTCCTCATGTTCGTCGACTGTGTAGTTCCGTGTAAACAAATCCTGCAGGCAGGTGACGGATGAAATGGCACCAGCCGGTTCAGATTAAGCAATTTATAGAGGAGGGCTCACAGAGGGAGCAGCCGGGAAAACACAGCCCACAGGAAAACAACAGAGCACACAGGACTACAAGACCAGGGACAGACTATACTGCCCTCCAAACACATACAACTTTCTTTTTGTTTTATTGCCAACATTACTGTGATCAACCAAACCTATAATCTTCCTAACTCTATCCGTTTTTTAAACAGAACCCATGATTATCATTTGTCAAGTCTCAGACAAGTCAATTTAAATTTCTTTCAGTATTTAGGACAATAGAAACAAAATTATATTTACGCTCCAATAAGTAAAGTCAATAGAGAGTCAAGAGAATGTAAGTAACTAAGACATAGTATAAAGCAGCGGTTCCCAACCTGTGGGCCGCGGCCCTCTAGTGGCCGCCACATTTTTTTTTCTTTTTTTTTTACAGGTTTAAAACACAAACATGGACATAACAATAACATATAGGAGATGACATTCCCATCTCAGACAGCAAAACAAAAACAGAAGAAATAAAGATACAGTCAGCCACTTCAACATTTCACAAACAAAAATAGGTTGACAACCAAATACCACCAAAAACACAACATGGCAAGCATATTTATTGTTCCTTTAATCCCTCTCTTCGTTAGAGCTCATTATTTCCCATTTCATGGCGTGTTGAGCCAGCCTTTGATTTTTGTGGCTATTTTTGTGGCTATTTTTTTCAAAATAAGTTTTATTTGTAATCTACTCTTCAAACACCTTAAATTAAGATTACTCCTTGATTGACTTTTAAAAATATGTATTTTAGCCAGAAGAATAGTTGTATTTATTAACTGTGTGCGGTCTTCATCTAAAAGCCCAAATACAATATTAAAGGGTGTAAATGTAAATTCAATATTTGCCGCCAAATAATTTGCAAAATATTATGATTTGTGTGGAAACATTTTCATTATTACGATTTCTTTTTATTTTAACCTCTTTTCCTTTCTCTTTCTTGATCCTCCTTAGCTACGGTCATTACAGCCCTTGACAGCGGTCTGTTCTACTGGATTTACAACGTGTCACATGTTCTGAATTGACCATTCAGAACTTTATTTAGCCTCTGTATTGTTTATGGTTGAATGTGGGCCGCAAAAACATTTTTGATTCTTAAGTGGGCCCTGAGTTGAAAAAGGTTGGGAACCGCTGGTATAAGGTTAACCCTAACCCTATACTATGTCGTTAATTTCCAAAATTGTCAACATACTATACTATGACTTTTTTTCTGATATTTTTGACATATACTATGACATTTTTTCTTCATACTATACTATGACATTTTATCGACGTATTATAGTATGTTTTTTAATTCGATTTTCTACAACATTCTATACAAAGAGATGCTTTATCAATACATCAATCAATCAATCAAGTTTATTAATATAGCCCAATATCACAAAGTTCACATTTGTCTCAGGGACCTTTACAGTTTGTACAGAATATTCATACAAATATGACACCCTCTGTCCTTACACCCTAACATTGGAGAAGGAAAAACTTCCAAAGAAAACCCACAGTTAAGTGGAAGAAACCTCAGGGAGAGCAACAGAGGAGGGACGGACGGACGTTGTATTACTTTTTTACCAGATGATATAGTATGACAAAAGTGTTAAGTATTATTTAAAACAAAGAATGACAAACACATTAGCGTACATCAAGGGCTATTTTTTGTTTAATGTCTGTAATCACCATGTAAAATAATCAGAGCTTTTTATCTGACTTGACTCATTCAAGGATTATTTCAGTCGTCAGAGCAGGAAAATAACAACGGATAATTTGTCCCTTTCCACTTTGGTTTCCCTTATGACTCACTCTGGGAGGTCACATTTCAGATGAAAATCACATTAATTAAAATTTCTTCTTCATAAACCTACAATTATTTTCTGGTCAAAATAATCATAACATAATCAGAAAAATAACTGAACTCAATGTAAAAATGGCATTTAAATTAACTTTAATAAATGAAACATGTACGCCACAATGTGCTATAACACCAGAGCACTTTAAGACATGCAAATATATTGTCAATCCTTCAATTCAGGTGAAACATAGTCTTGTAAATCATACTATAAATGTTGAAATAACTTTGCTATTGTCACAGCCTAGTAGTCCAAATACCAATCAATTGCCCACATTAAAATCAAAGTCATGTGAATAGAGATTATCCATATGGTTACTTAAAAGCTATTAATTAACAAAAAGTACTTTTATTTGATCAGGAATTACACAACTTATTTGCGTATAACTATGAGCACTCTGTGTTTAAAATATTGGCATACATTTTATGGAGTTCAAATGTTGTCAGCTTTACGTTATCACAGTGAACCGTGCTGTATATTAAAGCTGTTATCCGAGCAGGAGGCAAAACACACAGGTAGGCATTACTGAAGAGAGAAGTGGAAAATGTGTCAGACAGGAAGAAAGGACGTTTTATAGGGCTAGATGAAACATTTCATTACATTTCACAGCTTGGTTCTGCCCACCACAAGCCTTAAAGCTTTATATTACACTAAATATAAAATCATGACTACATCTAGCCAGAACCTGCACCTGAGGAAGGACGCACACAACCAGGGAATGTTTAAAAAGAAATAATCTGAGAAGAAACTAAGAGGCTGTATATGGTTTCCTTCAAGCGGAGAACTGTCTAACACCATAACTAAAAGGTAGTATCTTCCATTGAGGTATGCAATTCACAATCAACACGTTCTACATCTAATACAGAAAAAAAGACTGGAGTGTGCCAGAAACTAGGACGGGTTTTTTGAGTATTTCTTACTACAAATCTTTACATCATTATTCATCTGAGCTGGATCACAGCATAGATTTGAAGGCTTCTGTGCAAAGGCATCAATATCATGTCTATGTGTACAATCACTAACAAGCACATAACCTTTCAAACAAAAAACAAAGAGATAACACATATAGCGTTACACTGATATGGTGAAATACATTGTTTAAGAATGTAATGGCTGAAGCTGGTGGAGGTTTTACTGCTGGTCGTGGAGATACTACATCCATGTGGAGAAAAGCCTGGGATAAAGGGAAAAACAAAATGTGTGAGATATTTGTGGAGGAGAGTACAGATGTTTCACGTGATAGAGTTGTGGAAAAGGCTGAAAATACCTCTTTTGGCTTCTTTAACTCCCAACACAGTTGTCTGTGTCTGCTGTACTCAAGCCGTTTACAGGGTCCTGCAGGATGCAAAGGGAAGGGAGACGGCATTAAGACAAACACAGAGCCAAATAAGGAACCAGGCGTTTATTTTGACTGGCACCGACTGCAGTTGAGCTAATACAAAAATCTGAGGTCAACAACCAGAGAAAACACCCTGTCTGTTCATTACAGTATAAAGAGTACAGTAAATGTAATAAAGGCAGCTTTGTGAGCAATAACATGCAATAAACACATTGAAGATACTTAATAAAACGACATATCTGAGATGTTCTATGGGCCTGCTCTGTAGAATAATAATCCAATGTATGTGGAGCATAGAAACCAAAACACAGCAGAACTATACGTCCAAAACATTTATTAATATATCAATTAGTAATGCAAGGGGTGAGAAAGAAACATAAAGCTCAATTAGTTGATAAAACAAATCAAACTGTACTTCTTTTACCATCCTTTTACATTTTGTATAGCTCTTTAGTTTTCCTGTTTTGTGGGACTTGGCACACGTTTAATTATTCACCAGTTTTTCTATTTATTTAGTTTACTCTCCAGATCTTTAAACCTCTACCAATGACAGTAGTACTCACTACACTTTGTAGCAGCTCTGCCCCCTCGGATGCCTCAGAGAACTGCATGCTGGGTAAGGTGGGGGCCTGGGTCTTGCGGGCCTGCGGGGGGTTGCCCACGCTGTACAGACGGGGCCGTTTGAGCTGGTCTTGGCTGGACAACGGGGTGAAGCTGTTCCTCCGGAGGAAAGCGGGCGGCATCGTATTTGCTGAGACTTTATTCTGGAGAGTGAAGAAAGACAGACAAAAGTGGGCTGATTAAAATGTGCTTTTTTATGTTTTAACCTCTCATAATCAAGGACTTAAAGGTCCCCTATTATACTGTTTTTTATCAATATATTATAGGTCTCAGATATATACAAAACATGTCTCTGAAGTGTTTGTCTGAAACACCAAACAGATCATTGTAGCATCCCATAATCCCCTCTGTTTCAGCCCTGTTTCAAAAGTGCTGATTCTCTGTCTGTTACTTTAGATGAAAATAAGGAGCCACTCCCCCCTCTGAGATATTTGGTTAGAAAGAACACAATAGCCGCTTTCACACCAAGTACTTTGCCGTACTTAGTTCCCAGCACTTAGTTCCCCCATGGAACTAAAGAGCAGATCGTGTTCACACCGGAATAAGTCCCTGAGGGAAGATTACGCAAATGAGCCGCTGACGTCACTTCTTCTTCTTCTGCTTTGGGTTTACTGGCAGGCCGCAAACAACTTCACGGCGTATACTGCCACCCGGAGTCCCTGGCCGGAAGTCCCCGGGGTTGCGGATTGGCTTCAGTAGAAGCTGCTGGGACTCCCAGATCGCGGAGGTGTCGCCAGAACGCCGACACCTCTTCATCTCCACCGCTCCCATGTTTTTTTTTGTGTTGCCATAAGTTATTCTCTCTCCGTTGGTGCGTGGGGCTAATGCTAAAGCTAATAATGCTAATGCCAGCAAATACAATGGCGGCTTCACAAAACTTTTCCAAGTTTTACGGGGCGTGGTTTGCAATTCGCCCAGCCAATCAGAAATTGGAACTTTTTTCTCCCCAGGATAGTACCACCTCTCTAGCAGGGACTGAAAATGGGGGAAAAGTTCTCATGAACTAAGTATTCTTTTTGGTGTGAACGCAAAATCCCAGGAACTATCGGAACTAAACGGGAAAAGTACGGGGGGAAAGTACTCCGGTGTGAAAGCGCCTATTGGTGCTCTAGGAGGAGATTCAGGTGATAAGGTGGGGGGGAGTTACCTTGGTTGGTGATTGGCTAATGGTTACACAAGCCAACAAATCGTTATGACATCACAAAGTGGCCAAAATCTGATCAGCTCATTTTCAGACAGGTTTTTATATAAATGGATCAGGACAAAATGTGAGCGAATCTTTTTTCCTGAAACTTTCAGAATATCTTTACACAGAGGGGACACATGTTTATGTACACAAGACATGATAAGTGGATTTGGCATAATAGGTGACCTTTAAATCCCCATGTCCCGAGTGAGTCCCGAGTGAGTCCCTATGAGAGGGCGAGGGAGGAAAAAGCCACTGAGACAAACAGCTCTAAATATAAAGCCCAGCGTCATGTTGGTCCCAGCAGACAGGATATCTCTCAGCCCATTTAACAAGAGGTTTCTCAGGGAATGTGTTTATGTGTTAACACCCACTCTCTTTAGGACTCTTGGTTTCTCATCAGCACAAACTCTAAAACCAGGGAGCAGATATGGAGCCGGCTGATTAGGAAATGAAGACAAAAAGAAATTAAACATGCCTTTGGGATTTCCCGTCCAAACACAGATTAATCTTCTGTGCAGCATTTTCTAATCGGTTCATTAAAGAATAGCCAGTTGCTAATTAGAAGTTGTCTGTTGGGGGACGGTGATTGATAAGTCCAGGGGGCAGAAGTAGAAACCATGCAAATTCACACAAAAAAAGTGGTATTTTCTAAAGCAATTCTTATAGAAAAAGTGTACATACATTAAACTTTGTAAAGTGTATTTTGGGTTTGAATTCTTCTTCGTGTATGTGTGCTTGTTTGTTTTTCATCATGTTGCATTTCGCTTATTGGGGTCAGATGTCTCCCTTTAAGCCAATAGGTTGTTGTTCTTTGTGTTTCTTTATATCTCATCTCCGCAACTTGCTTCTTTTCTGTCGTTGTGTTGCTGCTGCTCTGTTTTATTTATTAAAAATGTAATCAAAAAAGAAAATCTCAAAATGGCTGTAGGGGGTAACTGATCCTCACTGCACGCACTGGGCACATGCACTACCCTGAACTCTGGGTCACAGTGACAGCTTCAGACAGATCTAACCACATACTTTTTACAGAATATAATTAAAAAGTCACAGGCTTACTAATGGTCTGTCCCGGTGGGTGTTGACAGCCTCCACCTTCAGGTCAAACATGTCCACTTTACAACCTATGAGAGGGAGGAAAATATGTCACAACCCAACAGAAGGAAAACAATGATACGATACGATAATACTTTAATGGTCAGATCAAGTTTGAAATTTGACTTGCATCACAGCAGCTCCATGTAACATCAACATAGAAAGATTTCAAGACACAATACATGAAAAACAAACAACAAACATTTAACATAACAGCACAATCACTGAGAGAAAACATGCTCAAGTCCCTTCAGCGTGCATTTGATCTGGATTCAGCTCTGTATTTACTGTGAGGGTTGACTGGAGCACAAAGGAGTGCTTCAGTCTGACTTTATTGAATCACGGGACGCTGTCTCTCCGATTAGATGGTAGCAGTTCATATTGGCTGTTCAGAACATGGTTTGGGTCAGAGATGATGTTGTTGGACAGCCTCACTAGGTTATTATGGTATGCTGAATATATGAGAATAAATGAGCTGAGTTTTGAACAGTGCAGTGACTTACCATAAGCCACAGGGGTGAGTTTCAGAACGGTGTGCAGGGGACACTTCAAGTAGGGAAGATCATCTGTGCCAACAAAAAGAAGAAAAATATGTTTTTGGCAGGTTTTATACCCAGTCATGTTTGGGATTCCCCTCTCAGGTTTGACAGAACATTGAGGCTGCAGTGCTGCATGTCACATATGTGAGGGTGCAGTGCTGCATGTCACATATGTGAGGCTGCAGTGCTGCATGTCACATATGTGAGGCTGCAGTGCTGCATGTCACATATGTGAGGCTGCAGTGCTGCATGTCACATATGTGAGGGTGCAGTGCTGCATGTCACATATGTGAGGGTGCAGTGCTGCATGTCACATATGTGAGGGTGCAGTGCTGCATGTCACATATGTGAGGCTGCAGTGCTGCATGTCACATATGTGAGGCTGCAGTGCTGCATGTCACATATGTGAGGGTGCAGTGCTGCATGTCACATATGTGAGGCTGCAGTGCTGCATGTCACATATGTGAGGGCGCAGTGCTGCATGTCACATATGTGAGGGTGCAGTGCTGCATGTCACATATGTGAGGGTGCAGTGCTGCATGTCACATATGTGAGGCTGCAGTGCTGCATGTCACATATGTGAGGGTGCAGTGCTGCATGTCACATATGTGAGGGCGCAGTGGGATGAAGTGCAGTCAGAGCAGCACCCACAGTTTGGTTTCTGCAGTCATCAAACTGTGGGTGAGACACAGAGCCGCAGCCTGACCACATCCTCTGCTGACTGACATAATGTCTGCCCGTACCTATTTTTGGATTTGATTTAAAGCAGCATTTTCCTTTCTGACCAGCCAGTTGTTCTTCAGCCTTCTTATTTTTCACTTTGAGCCAATTTTCCACACATTTAATTTATAGTAATTAAATCCAGACAAAATTATTTCATTTGTACTATGTAAATGTGGAAGATGATTGAATACTGCTAGTTATTTTTGACCTTGGTATACCCATTTGTTATTGTTTTAATGTGTGCTTGCCTATTTTTTTGTGTAAAGTTCAAAGTTTGATTTATCTGTAAACACGACTATTTGTGGTAAAACTTTTTTTTTCAATCGAGACGAATCGCATTTGATCAGTTCTGCCTTAGTGCCCTCCTGGGATGGCATCAAAAAAACTGTCACACAGCAATTTATTTCCCCAGATTGAATATTTGTTTCCCTTCTACCGACTGGGTAGAAAAAAACCATGGCAAAAACCATTTGCAGCAATGACTTTGCTCTGTCAAATATTGTTTTCAAGTATGGCCTTTTTTACAGAATTTAAATCCCCCTCCATTCAGTTGAAGCTCTTACTTTATTTACTGTATTGCTACTTGCATCACAAAATGAACGCATGTCAGATTTGAAGGTCACAAAAATGCTGTGTTGCATGTCTTTTCAGACACCAACAAATAAAGCCTTTTAAAACGTGTTTTGTCATCATGAAGTCCTACTCATCCATTAAAGCTGCACTGAGAATTGTGTTCACTGTAAAGCTAACTGAATAGTTTAAAGTTAGCTTTGAATCAAGCATGCAGATACTTTTTGGTCTCATTAAGGTTTTGACACATTAATGTTCAGGTGCTATTAAATGTTCCTCTTTAGATACATTTAGACTAGCTGAAAAAAAGTGACTCAGACTCACTATAGCTTTAAGATGAATCAACGGCTGCTTTACTGTGAGGCTTTGCCCCGGGCGTGTTTCATGTTTCTGTGCGTGTTACCTGCGCTTTTGTCCAAGAAGTAAGCGAGCAGGCATCTCATGACGGCCTGATGACAGATGACGAGCACGTTGCCCTGCCGCTCCAGCTCCATGATGACGGGCTCCAGCCGCTGAACCAGATCCTGGTAGGACTAGAGAGAAAGGGATATCAATCTAATTTAGTTTTAGTTCTATTATATTAAGTGTTTGCAGAAATCATTTTCCAGTCTCTTACTTCTCCTCCAGGGTAGCGGTAATGGTACTTGTCCTGATCCCTCATGGCGAACTCCTCTGGGTACGTTTCCTCAATCATTTCATAGGACATTTCTTCACACACTCCCTGAAACACAAAGTAATAATAACACTTAAACAACAAGCACAGTTTGTCCAAAACCAGATTTGCAAGAAAACAAGTGTAACATGTGTACAGATGATGTTAAAACAGCTATCTTCTCTATGCAGCCTACTTTTGGTGTATTTATAGGAAAGGAAAAAGAAGAACACGTTTTTTTAATGGTGATTTGCCTAAGCTTCCAAGATGGACGGGTGCAAGTCTGATACACAGTAAAGTTAAATGTAATCATCTGTATCTTGAGTTTCATATCAGAGCACGTACAGCATCTATCTCATTGAGGATCTTCCACTGCTCGTAGGGCACTCCCAGCTCCTCGGCCGTCTGGATGGTGCGTCTCAGCTGACTCGTCCAAACCTTCAGGTCGGACAGACGGTGCTCCTCCACAAAACCCTTCAGTGCTGCTGAAAACTGAAAAAAGAAATATCAACCAAGTGTTAATGATAAAGAACTGACATCTAAACACATAAGAGAACCTATACAGTGGATAGCGTCAAGTATTTCTCCCCATAATAGCCCCTTAATCTTTTGTAACACCAAGATTTCATTCGCGCCATCTGACTGGATTCTCGAAAGACTGTTTAAAAATGTTTTTAAAATAAACTTTCAAAAGGAAAAAAGAATAGCCAGGCTAGCAGTTCCTACTTGTTTTATGCTAAGCTGTAACTAGGACAGAAAGGAAGTGTTATAAAAAGAAATCCCCATATGCCAAACACTTCCTGTAGAAGCTGCAATCTTTATTGAGTTTATAAATGTAAAAGTGAGGGTTTGTTAGCACCTCCTTCCCTCTCTCTGACAGCTCAGAATCCCCCCCGATGCGTCCCTCCATGTTGTGATGGCTCTCTCCGTGCCGACACAGGTAGATGGAGTGGGAGTGCACGCGGATGTTCATGAGGTAGTAAACTATTTTACTCTGGATGTAGTCCTGCACCCTGTTGACCAGGAAACGACGGCCCACATTGATGACCTGGATGAAGGAGCGGTTCCTGCGGGAGGAAAGAAAGAGGGTTAATACAATCTGTAACGGAAGACTCTGAGAAGAGGCTCAAGGGAAGGGACATCTTGTACTCAGGGTGGAGTCTTAATCTCCTGATAATTCATTTATCACACGCTTCAGAACATTCTGTGTCATTAACAGCGACAAGGTTCAAGAAGATCAACAACTGTTCTCGACAAACAAAGATACAAGAAAGTGTGCATATTGTTAGTTACGTAACTTTATTTTGATAAACACACATAAAAGAACTCTGGTAACTTTTACAATTTCTATATCTACATATCTGTTGTTGATATATATGTATGGTGTCTTGTAGTATAACGCACATATGTTCACATTTGTAAACGCTCTGATTATTTCTTGGTTTGTATAGATTTATACATTTAGTCTAGCATAGGAGCAAATGTTAAGTAAACCAATATCGCCCAAGGATCAATAAAGTATTTCAGTTTTTTATCATTTTGACATTTCAAATATCACCAGTCCTCTGTTTTTCCTGGAGCCAGGTGATCTTAATTAATGACTCATTATTATTATTATTATTACTACTACTGCATTTATGGTGTTACAGCTCCATAAATCAAATACCAATAAAAGAGCAGACAGTAAACATTTTAGATCACAAATGAGCTTCTGTCTCCCCCTGCTGGACAGTTTCTGCAAGCACATGTTCGACCAAAAATATGCCAAGATAATCTACAGGGCCAACATAAATAAATGATAAAGGACAGTTAGCTCTAAAGGATGATTATTGTTATTTAACAAAATGTCAATGACGGAAAATAAATCCAACTCCTAGCACCCTTAACAAAATGTCTTCTTACTTGTCGTGTTCGTCCGGATCTAAAGGTTGGTATGTCACTTTATAACACTCTATCCTCTTCAGAAAATCCTCCATCACACTCTCTCTGTCTCTCTCGGGGTAATCGGGGCTGGAAACCTTCACATCCTTTGTTATAAAAAGAGACATTTGTAAAGACCATGACGTCTAACAACTCAAGGCAAAATGTGCCAATCATTTGAAAAGCATCATTTACCAGGATATTAGTGGCGATAACATCTGGATCGTCACATATTGATTCAACGAAAAACACCTAACAAAAGACAGTCATCATTAGAAATTCAGAATTCATGCGAAAATACACAAATGATTTAGACAATGAAACCGACCTTGTATGAATTATCCTTTGCAAAATTAAGGATGAGATCCCTCCTCTCTCTCGTGGTGTTGGTGGCGTCAAAAACCTAACAGATAGCAAAACATATTCAGACCAAATCCAGTTACAATCAATATCATTACCAGTATATTCAGCTGCACTGTGTCCTTACAGCGATCTGGCCTCCCTCCTCGTTCAGATAGGCCTTCACATCCTCCAGTGCCACCAAAGCACACCGTCTGTGGAGACATAATGAGAAAATTGATCAGGAAATCAGATTAGCTTTAAATGCTTCCTAAAAGACATTATGTGCAGTAATACATTCAGGGACATCATTTATTGAATTGAATATGTGTAGCTCCATTTGTTAAGCAAACACTGTGCAGTCTAAAGAGGCATTTAAATGTCAAAGCAAACTGGTGTTTTCATTGGGCGTAGCAATGACAACGCGGTTAAACACGCAGAGGGACACATGTGGGAAAGGAGTCATTGTACTACTCGGAAGAATGTCACCACAAGGAGAAACTCACTTTCTGATTTCCATTGCTTCTTTGTTGTCATGTCTGAAGAAGTCAAAGGATTTGTATGACTGCACTGCTTCTCTCCTATAAACCCCAAGGTTAAATACTGTAAGGGAACAAAAACAGAGAGAGAGAAAGAGACGTTTAAGGCAGGGACAAGATTACGGTGTGCAGGCGGTGGCCTTCGTCTCAAAAGACTCAGACCAGTTCAGCTGCATTCCATTCATGTGAAAACATCAGAGCACTACAAACACCGCCTGTTGATAGGGGTTGGTGACATAAACACAACCACAACCACGTATCAACACAGCGTTGCCCTAAGCACCAGATGTTCAGATAAGTATTATCACTGAATGCCATTACAGTTCCATAAAAAGGGACAGTGTCATTGTGAGGCTGACCGTTGAGCGGCCCGACCAAGCAAGGAGGCAGAGGCAGAGAGTTCAAATATAACCTGGTGTGGGCATTTATTAAACCATGGGCACATGATTCACAGCCTCAATATGACTGTTACCCGTGAACACAGTCACCAGCCACAAGGATCTCACACACACTGCCAGGAAAAACAGAGCCTAAATACCCACAGACTAATCAAGCCAACAAGACACAGGTGAGGGGGGAGGAGACAACACAGGGCACCAGGTGAACACAATCACCAGCAACAGACAAAACGGGAGGGGGAACACTTTTCAAACTAAACCACACAGATCGCGACAAACAGATGTACAAATACATCCAACCACCAACAACGAAGCTATACAATCCGTAACGGAGGCCGAGATCTATGGCCCCAGAGATCACCTCCGTTACAGTCATTTAAAGGGACAGTTCACCAGAGAAAGATATTCTGTACGTTCTTTCTGTACCTTTAGTGCTTTTATCAATCTATATGATCTTGGTGTGAGTTGCTGAGTGTTTGAGATCTTGGCCGTAGAGATGTCTGCCATTACTTATTTTGAATGTAATTTAACTAGATGACACTCGCCAAAATACATTTTAAAAAACGGTCTCTTTTTAGAAACCATGACGCAGTTGCTCTAAATAACCCACAGACTTTGTCGTGAGCGGTTTCATGTGAACTGTTTTGTCTGTAAACAATCTAGATTTATAAAAAGCACTACAAGTAAGAGATAAGGATGTATTTTAGATTTTGGGGTAATCTGTCCCTGCAGATACATGTTTGCCCTGAACACACCTTTCCATTTACAGTTGTTTTGATCATTTACAGCGATTACAGGGCCTTTGAATCCAAGCCTCACCTGTTTTTATTGGTTGTATTTCCTGTGGACGGATCAAATGTTACAACATGAATAAAATAAAACATGTATTGCTTCTGTACTGACCCTTAGTTGGCACTCCGATCCAGTTGAGGTAGCGCGTCAGCTTCTTACCCATGTAGGTTTTCCCTCTAGCGGGCAACCCAATCATCACTATCACAGTCGGAGAATTGGTCATGTAGGAGGCCCAGGCTGCACACACAAGAAACATTCAGACACACAAAAAACAGAGTTAATTATTAGGCATATAAGGATTTATTGTGTTTAACAATTACCTTTATTATCACTTTAAACTAGGGCTGCACAATTTGGGGAAATAATCTAATTGCGATTTTTCTGACAGATATTGCGATTGCGATTCGCGATATTTGTTTTTAAGCGACCCAACGGAAGTTTATTGTAAAATGCGGTCATATCTCCGGCTAGGAAGGTCGTATCAACGTGCTCCCGTCTCTAGCACCCCCGCAGCCCGAGCTACGAGTGAAAGAACTAAACTTACATGAAACTTCCGTTGGGTTGCTTTAAAGTCAAGCTTCAGTTTCAGATTCACCCTGTAATAGATGTGAAACATGTGATGGAGCATTACTAACCTGACTCAGATGGTTTGTTTCACCAAACCATCTAGGAAAGCTCCATTGGGCAAAGGGCAGGCACTTTCAAAAATACTTGGCAGGTGATTGGATCAATCTGTCTATCACCTACTATCATGGGCCACTGATTGGTTAACAATGACTGGTACATGTGGAGCACAGAACTTCTGATTGGTGTGGATGACTGACACACAAGAAGAACAATGAAAAAAATCACAGGCTTTGCGATTTGATAATTGCATCATTTAAAATCGCGATTTCGATTTAAAATCGATTAATTGTTCAGCCCTACTTTTGCCCCTAAAAGATGTAATTAATGTTATAACAAGGGGCAGATATGCCTACTGTTTACTGACAGGAAGCAGAGGGAGGGTTGTGAAATAATCCAATGTCACCCCTGCATTGTTCATCTACCAGCTAGTTAACGTTTAGTAGAACTTTTCCGTCTTATGACTGTCTTCTAACGACTGCCGGTTAATGTTTCCCAATACTTGCAGGATTTTTGGCTAGGACATCGAAGGGAAAATATGTCAACACATTGCCTCGCTCCTTTTACTTTCAGTGTCCATAACCATGACCATTGCTCAGCCCAGAAAAAGCATAAACTTGGCAAGACAAGACTTGACTGGAGATTGTATAAACAGATGTCTGCAGCTTGGAGCAGAGCAGGAAAGGTTTGTAATCAACACATCTTGGTTCAAATAATTTCACCTTCCTGAATAAATATTCCTCGAACACTTATACAATAAAACACATTTCATTGATTTCACATGACTCATAGTGTTGACCTTGCTTGTTGCTGTGTTTCTTTGCTTCAGTGTGCATTGCAGTACCTGTACAGTACACTGTTCTCATACTGATGACTACAGAAGGTGCGTCAAAGCTGACATTTAACAATCAGTGGCTGCTGAAACCTTATCACCTCTATTTACCCGTGACCAATAGAGCAGGAAATGTGATTAAAAGAAACAAGTTCACAATTTACAGCACACAGCTACTGCATTATATTAAATAATGCAATAGTGCAGGTGCATAAAGGTCAATAATAACTACAGATCAGGTTACAGCCTCAGAAAACGAAGAAAATAAACCACTCACAGCACTTCTTCTCAGTGGCCCTGATGTCCGTCCTCCTGGCCTCTGAGGAACCGTCTGCAGCCGCTGCAGCTCTCTGCTGCCGGCCCGCCATGATCGCTCTGATTTGTGTCCGGCCGTCCTGCATCAGCTGATCCGGTCCCTGTTAGGATGAGGTCAGCATCTCTCTGTGGAGGACAAGGTTTTGCTGTATCATAACAAACACTACCTGATGATACAGCAGGCCAAAGTGTGCATACAATACAGTGAATTGCTAACAGTGATCAGATCTAATTCAGGTAATAATGCTGTTATATATTTAAGGATGCTTGAGACTAACAGAAAGAGATCCTTGGAGGAAAAGGGGCAAGGGAAGTAATATTGGAGATCCTGTATTATGACAAGAGAAGTTCATCCCTTTAAGATTGTATACTCTCTCTTGTTTTAGGGAGGCAACCAAATATTATTTTCATTACCTATTTTTTGGTCGACAAAATGATTAACAATTTGATCCATAAATCAGAAAATACTGGGAAAATGTCCATAATTATTTCCCAAACCAATGTTGATATGTTTAAATATCTTTTAAATATCCAATACTCTAATATTTAGTTCAACACCCTAAATGACACCGAAATCCAGCAAATATCCAAAATGGACAAGTTTAAACTAGTGAATTATTCTAATCTGTAATAGTTGATGATCTGTCAGAACTGTTTGCCATTATTTTTCATTAACTATTCAGTTAGTTGTAGCATCTAAACTCATTGCTGACTTGCACATAGTGGTGAAAAGTAACTAAGTATATGTAGTACTGTACACAAGAAGATATTTGAGGTACTTGTACTTTTGCTAAGTATTTTTATTTTACACTACTTTATACTTTTACTCCTCTACATTTTGGAGGAAAATATTGTACTTTTTACTCCACTACATTTATGTACTAGTTACTTTATAAATTCAGATTTGTAATACTTTAAAATATGATTTATTTGGTATCTTACACCATCCAACATTTAAGTAACTAAAACCACGAGTGGGTTAACAGAAAATGTATTGGTAGCAATTTTGCTTTAAAAAATATATAAAAAATGTAAAGTATATTTACCTAATCCTACATCAATACTTTTACTTAAGTACCATTCTCGAAATGTAGTATTTTACCAGGGTGGTATTAGTACTTTTACCCAAGTAAATCATCTGGATACTTTTTCCCCCACTGCTCATGTCCAATATACTATCAGAGGTATTATGACAGAAGCTAGGTTAGTGCAAAAGCCACAATAACTAATCTGTTTTATTATAATTGAATAATTAATCGGAGAAGTTGCACCACTGTGTCATAATGTCTCATACAGCAGAGCAGTGGGGTACAATGTACCTGACGTATACTATCAATCACTTCTGCTTTTACGTTGTTTCAATAGACAAAAAAGCATTGAAACAAAGCGGGGATGAAAACGCATAAAAAGTATAATTGTTTTAACGTACCAGAAATCTGCAGGAGCTGGTAATATCTGCTTATTATCTTTGTAGCAATGCTGTCATCAGTTAGCTCAGCACTGCCGGGGAGGACTCCTTCTTCTCGGATGTTGAAGCTCCGCCTCCTCGGTGTCAAACCAGCAGCTTCCGGTTGAGATTTCCAAAATAAAATCTCGGAACTCCGATGTGTAAAGCTAGCATCTCTTTTTTGGATAAAAAACAAAACATGAATTTGGTCCAAAATATAAAACATTAAAGTACCACTTAGAGGTTTTTTTGTTTTAATGTTAACATATTATAACCTGTGGGGACGTTTTCAAAATGTCTGGTGCTGTAAAAGGTTGTTTCAATAACTGCTTACATTTTGATCGATTTATAAATAACCCAAATCATTTTTTATTTTGTGAATGATATATTAATATAACCGGCTGCAGTGCTCCTTGATTATGACAGGGTCCATCCAGATTGCGACAGATGATTTAAAGGGCCCATGTCATGCTTTTCCGGTTATTACCCGTCCCCTTGTGTGTTATGAAGGTTTTTATGCATGTAAACGGTCTGCAGAGTTAAAAATCCTCAAAGTACACCCTGTAGCGAGTAAAACTCTAACACAGTCTATGCTGCCCCAAAACGCCTCGTTGGAGATTTCTCATTTTCCATTGTTTACTTCCTGGGTACTCTGACGTGTGAATACCCAGAGGCCACACCCTCTGCCAGCATTTCACGAAACAAAGCTTCACAAACCTTTCAGCAATTCATGCCGGATATGTACAGCGTAGGGCACTGAAGAACGATGCTGTTCCTATTTTGTTTGGACCAGCGGGAGATTCAGGTACACAACCTGTAAGTATTCATTGTTGTTTGTGTATTTATGATGTTTAAAACAAACAAGGTAATCTACCACGACTGTTTAAATGGGTAAACGTTTTTCGGGCTGCTAAATTGGGATCGCGGAGAAATGCTCTCCGGCGGCGCAGACCCATTCTCACAGCGTTATAAACCTTTTTCTTACTCAATATCAAGCCACAGTTATTGTTTTTACTTCGGCTGTGAGTGTTTGTGTGTGCTCAGGATGAGTTTCGCTTGTTCTCGCTGTATCGCCGACCCGGAAGCCTGTCAGCAACGAGCCTCGCAACTTCCCGACCAATCAGAGCACACTGGGCTCACAGGGGAGGGGGGGGCTCCAACAAGCCGTTTAGGACAGAGAGTGAATACCGGTGAATACACATACTTTACAGAGATGCTGTATGAGAAACCAATGTGAGTTTGGAAAATTGCACAGTATAAATCTATTTTAGTAATGGCCATGACATGGGCCCTTTAATGTCAGTTTTGTGATTTTATTTTGAAATCAGTCTTGTTCTGGTTAAATTCCGCTAACTTAACGCGTTTTTTCGTTCATTCAACAAGAACCCTGGGTTGCGGTCGAATAGTCCATTTAGCTTAGGAACCTTCCTAACGGAGTGAAATGACCCGGAAGTCCCTCAGTGGCAGCCATGATAAGTGCCGTTTGAATTCTCTAAATTAAAAGGAAAGGAGGTTTCAAACTTCCTTTATAACCTCCTTTAGCTTAGTAACCACTGGACCTCCCTAACCGAAAGGAGAGGAGAAAATGCTGCCCCACAATGCCTTGCGGCCGCGGCATTTGCCGTCACACAACAGTCGGCTGTTCACGGAAACAACCGATTATGAACGAGAAATGATATCATGAAAGTTACGGTGCTTATTAAGTATTTTAAAACGTATGTGGTAAGTTGCCAAAGAGCTTTGTTTTGAACGTTCATCAGTATTATAATCAAAAAGAGAAATATGAACGTTAGTTTTTACTGAAATGATCAAATAAAGTCAACATTTCACAGTCTTTACTGAGCTGTGTGTGGTTTGTTCAACTTTTAAAAGATGTTTGAATGGTGATATACACAGTGATAGATGTTAAGGACTAACGTTTATAATAAATACATTTGTATTGATTTTAAGATCTTAGCTTTATATATACAGTCTGTGGTTAGAATTTAGGAGCTGTTTTTTTGGAGTATTCGACCGCAACCCCGCTGTTGTCAATGGTTATGACGCAAGCAAATACGCGTGTTGCGTGACAACCTCCTACCCCTCGCATGTTCATTAAAGGAGAATGCCACAACATTTAGAAAGTTAATGTTATATTATTCAAAGTGTAAGTATATTAAAATACAATCTTCACATCCAATCCAACTACCTCAGCCATTTGTTGTCCACTATTATGTTGAATCATTTACATATAATATGACAATGTTTTAATTAGTATCTCTTCAATTCATGGAGCAAAACCCTCCACCATTATGGGATGCTGCTGAGTATCTAATGTGTAATCACCATGAGGGATGCTTGAGGCCGGGAGTGTTAGTGAGGTAAGTGTTCATTTATTTGTTATAATCAGGTTCTTAAAATGATATGCATATTACACCCCTGTGTGATTATTACATATTTAATTCCAAACCCATGGGCATTCATTGCTGCTATGACAGATTGCACACAGCTGGGAAGGCTGTTTATTACATGTTGGACCCTGACTGTAGGAATGTTGCTCCCATTCATCTATAAAAGCTTTACTGGGGTTGGACATTGAAGCTGGAAATAAGGCCTGGCTGGGATTTATTGTTCTAATTAATCTGAACGTGTGTGTTGGTGGTTGATGCCGGGGCTCTGTGCAGTCAAGATATTTCACACCAAACTACGAAAAAGAAATGTCATGAACCTTGTCTGTGCATGCAGGGCTGGAATGTAACTGAGTATGTTCTCAAGTACTGCACTTAAGTACAACCTTGAGGTACTAAGTTCACTTTAACAGTGTGAACAGTGTTGTCCACATTGGGCTTTTGTATACATAGTGCATGTTTCTATGTATTTTTATTGTTGTTACTAGGAAGGGTATTATTTGATGACCACATACTAAGGTGGACCAAATAAAGGTGTTTTGCTAACCCTTGTTTTATTTTAAATTATAAAACAATGACAACAACTGAGCACAAAATAAAGAAACAAAAAGCGGCTTTAGGATCACAAAGAGAGGTTTCTGGACACTATGTTCTGCTTCAGATGCAAACACATCAATTAAAGGAATTGAGGTAATTCTGTTGAAACATATACCAGGAGAAAAACATACATGTATTTGAAATTCAGTGCGCATTCCTCATTAATTCTACATCTTATGTCATACAGGAAATATGCCATGTTACTCATTTTACTCACATTTTTTTATTAGCTGAAAAGAAACTATCCTCACAGTGTCTAACTAATACACCATCACATTAAACAACCCTTCGTCTGTAAGATATGTGCTTATTTTGTAAAATGATGTTCGTCAGTACAAGATAAACTGGAACTACATAGTTTTTGCTCATTATTCCTAGCTGGATCTCTGAGAGGACAGATGGCGAGAGGGGGATGGCCACTAGGGCGGGGACTAAAGTCAGAATGGGCGTTAAACTCTCAGTCCATCAAGAAAACACAAAGACTTATCCCAAAGATATTCCTAGATACTTAACCGGAGAGTATTGCCTCGTCCACATGATGGTTGAGTAGCACATCCACATGATCTGCCTCCAGAGATGCACCTTCTGTCCATTTGGTAGCCCTTTGAAACTCAGGAAGTAGTGGTAAACAAACTGTCTGGAGATCCCTGATGCTCTCTTAAAGTTCAGTGTGTGGGCAAATAAAGGGATCCGGCTCTCAAATGATATGAAAAAGGGAGAGGTCTTTCCACCATTTGTCAGTCACAGTTATAAATTCTCACATACAGAACATACCCTGAATGCCTCACACAGATTGAATAGCTTCAGATCATTTGCGGGACCCATTTCAGGGAGTGCTAAAAAACTCACTGGCAAGGATCTTTGTATATTTGTATATGTAAGAAGGCCATGCTTTTAGAGATTACACAGTAACAATAAAATGTCTAATCTAATGCTTATGATTTCTTCGTGTGTAATATTAACTTAAAGCTAATATTACTGTTGTATTATGGATGAGTTCAATAATAAAAAACAGCAAGAATGATGACCAGGACATGTAGCAAAGGGATGTTTAATGATTTCTTTGGACAATGAAATGTACATGTCCATTGTTGATGTATTACAAACAAGAGAATAAGAAAATCATCAACTTGGTGTGGTGTCAGCATTCCCAGTTCAACCTCATTTTCTTGTGTGATGTCAACTAAAAGATTCAAAATGGAGCAAAACAAGATGTCTTGAGTTTCACGCAAGGACTGACCACTAGGGGGAGAGCCAGCTCTTACAGACAAAAACTAAAACTAGTGAGTGAAACTACACTGCATGAGTATCTGCTATGCCCAGTTCCACTCATGTACCATTTGGCACTTGTGTTTCCATTTGGGAAAACTAAACGTGGAATAATCCAGTCCAATACTCATGATTTGAGACAGACACAAGGCATAGCGTTTCCGGAGTGAGCTGATGCAAACACAAGCAAACTTGGCTGAGAATGCGCACACAGACACACAGCTGAATTCATGATGAGATTAAATAAAAAGAAATCACTTTAAATAAAAAGCTTCATCAAATGACACTGAAATGCAGACGATCATTGCCTTCTTGGCACATTATGGATTCCCTTGCAGCACCATTAATTATTATAAGAACAGAAGTCATGACGTGTTTAGGTCGACTTCATTTCGGATGAAAGTCACCAACATTTCAAATGCCTTTAACATTTAAATTAAAAAATATGTACCACAGTTCATTCTCACCAAACAGGGGTGGGAGTTCAAGCTGCTAGAAAGGGCAGCGAAGGAGACTGCCCATTAAGCAGTCAACTAAGAACGCACGTGACTGCATCAAACCTTATTTTTCTTACTGAAGAACAAGATTTGGATTTCAATTATTTGTCAATGTCTCTAAGCATTTGGCCAGTTAATTTGTGGTTATATAATAAATAATCCATCCATAGTGGTTTTTACTGTCAAGTTTGTGTTCAACCTGAGATTTTTTCAAGGGCAGTCAGTTCATAAAAGAAATAAACATTCATCCTTCATGATAAAGTTGTATTGGAAATGCTGAATTAAATAATTTAAGACTTGTATCTACTGCGGTGGTCGATCTGAAGCTATTTTATTATTG